TTTCCTAAAGGGCTCCTTTTTTCCTGAACTCTCTGGTTTTATTACTGAAGTCACATTTATGTATGAAACACTGAGGCTCTGTGGAGCAGAGAGGATGTACCTCTCTGGTGCTGTTACAGTACATCGTGTACCTGCCGTATAGGCTCCTTGTCATGCAAATTATTCCTAGAGCCAAATAAAGACTTAGGTGTATTAGTATGTCTTTTTTCTAAAATAGTTTGACATGGTGTGAAATGCTATTTCTTTAAAGAATTGAACTTTCAAGGCCTAAGCATGGAAAGGAAAGGATATTTTTCCAAGACCAATGATCACAAGGGAAAAGCTAGGGTGAATCTTGACAGTGTTTATATAAAATAAAGTGGTGAGTGGGAACCCTGAGCCTGGAGCTGCCCAGGAGGAACAGCTGCTTTTGGAACACTGCGTTGCTCTCTGAAGGTGCTCTCTCATGTACAAGGGCAGAGCTCCTTCAGCACAGATGAAGGGAGGGCAGGCTGGGTGACCAGGACATGCAAGGTTCTGAAACGCATAGTATTAGGGCTGGTGGGTGGCAAGCTACACCAAGAATGACGAAACAGAGTCAGTTTATGAGAATTAAATGTTACCCACAGACTGTAGCTACAATCTAAGTATAAAATTATTGGCAATAAGAAGTAAAAGAAAAGGCATCAATTCTCTAGGCTTTTTGTTTTTTGTTTTGGTTGGTTAGGGTCACATCAGGCTGGATGATAAAAGCTGCCATCAAATGTATTGTTTGCCTCCAATTTTGGATTTTATTTGTAATCATTCAGGTTGGGTCATTTTCCCACTCTATACCATTAGTCCTCAGATATCTTTATAAAAGGAAAGTAACAATACCAGAACTATATGGTCCAGTGCATGTTTTTTTAAAACCTAAGGCCTAAAAGTGTTAAGTTTGAGACCAGTCACATTAAAAAGGTTCCATCCAGGATCCAAACTTTATGCCAGCAGACAAATTTGAGTGCTTGCTTTGTACCTGGATGTTCCTGCACTTGGGGGTTGAATGACAGACATGAAAACATAATGTCAATGCAATATGGTAAGTGTTCTCTCTCTGATAGTTACTTATAGGGGACGCAGAGGAGGGGTAACTATCTCAGGCATAATGTTGATGGGCATTGAAATGATATGAAGGAAAGGCTTCCTAAAGGAAGATACTCTGAGTGTTGAAGGAGAAGGATAAAGAAGGGAGCCAAGCTGAAAGAAGTTATTCCAGATACAAGAGAACAAAAGGAGACTGGAGTTAGTGGCACCATGTTAGACAGTACTGGATTTTAAGAGAGAAAGTGGGGTTAGTCAAATGGAATGTGTTGGGAAGATAGGAGGGTTTGGGTCATGGAAGACCTTGTTTGTCTTGTGCAGGAGCCCTGACATCCTGTGACTGACAAGGAGCTCACAAGGAGCTTTAATTAGAGCAGCTTGGTCAGGTTATGTTTCAGGAACATCTGCCAACTGCTGGGTGGCAAGATCAGTTAAGAGCCTACTCATAGAGTCCACATGGTAGGTGATAAACTAGGACAAAGGGGCAGAGAGGAAGAGACAATTGATAGAACTTGGGAAATATGTATTTTCTGGCATGAGAATAACTTCATATTTACAGGCTGAGGAGCCAGTGGGGAAGGGTAAGCATGAGGCCATAGAGAAGGATGGAGCAATGACCAGCAGACATAGGATGGCCTAGGTCCAAGAGAATAAAAAAATTCAGAAGCCAATAAAGCCAGTTGGGTCTCTTCATAAAGCTGATAATAGGAAGTTATTTTAAAGTACAAAAACAAACTGCTTATATACCATTCTAGCATTAAGACTAGTATCAACAGTCAGACAAATGTAGAAAGTCAAATTTTTTTCCTTTGATGTCCTGTAATTTATGTAGGAGAAGATGGGTAATGGGAGACCTTCTTGTTAGTCTGTCTTAAACTGGTGAAGGGCCAAGGTTTTCGGTACTTTGTAAAACACAGCAGAAAAGCTGCAGCATGTCACGTTGCCTGCCCTCCCTTTCCACACCTAGCCCCTTGCCCGTTGGTAGCAGCCTTTGAACCGTGACTTGAGCAGCATTGTACTAAACAGCTCAAGTGAAGGTTGGTCCCTAGCTAGGCATTAATGACTGGCCATTTATTTCTTAAACCAGAGTTGATTATTTAGTAGACAAATTTCTATAGTTTTTTTTTTACTTGAGCACAATTAAAATATATTTTATACCAAATTCTTTTCCACAATTATAAGTTAATACTCTGGTATGTCCTCGTACAGGTGCTGGAATAGTATTAGTGTGTTGAAACACAAGCTGCTTCTCATTTTGAGAGGTAATGAGACTCATTAGACCAAAAGATTCCAAGATGGAGACAGACATGCCCACTGGGTCCACCTAGATACAGGATCAGACCCAACTGCAGACCCTAGGGAAGCTGGACAGACTCAGAGATGGAGCAGACAGCCGGGCTATGGGGGGACTGGAATGAGGGGCCTGGCCCACTGCTGCCCTGGTGCCTCGGTCTTGGGCAGGATAATTGCAGCACAACAGGGCCTCAGGTTCACCTGGTTTGAGTAACACTGAATTTTTTTTATTATGATAGTTATACTCTGATGTATTTAGTACAATATGGAAAATTGGGAAAATACTGAAAAATACAAAATGTGAAATTAAACATTAATTTTCTATCTTCTGTTTTCTGTGCTTTTCTATATAATTGATATATTGTATATAGTTTTACCAATTAAAAAAAATACACTATGCACATTTTTATCATTAAAAAAAATGGTTGACTAACCCGGATATACTTAAGCAATCCCTTTCTATTGGGACATTGAGGTCATTTGTTTTTCCTATTATAAATAATGGTCTATATCTTTATTTCCTTATAAATGCTCAAAGTAAAACTACTAGATCAAAGGTTTTGATATATATGACCAGTTGATTCCCAGAAGAGGTATATTGATTCATATTCCCATATCAATGTTGCCAGGCCCTGGCCAGCATTGGGTGCTACAGTTTTAATGTGTATTATTACCTGTCATCACCAAACATGGCTTTCATCTGCATTTCTTCAACATAATGCTTATTAGACATTTGAATTCCTACTTTGTCAATGATCACTTTATACCTTTTTCTTTTTTTTGTATATTTTAATATGTATGAGTTATTTGTATAGAATATTAACTTTTATCATACTTGCATGTATTGTTGCCAGATGGCCTTTAATTTTTGTTTGATTTTTCTCACAGAAGTTTTAAATTGTCATGAAATCACCTATTGATCTTTTCCTTTGTGGTTTTAATTGGGCTTTTTTTCTCTTTTACGCTTTTCCCTATGCAAAGACAAAAGAATCATTTATTTTCTAACTAGGATTGATTTGGTATTGGTGTAAGCCTGTCTGGAGCTGAGCTGCAACAGGCTTAAATCATTTTGGCGCTCGTCCCTGGTTCCCCTGCCCCTCTTCCAGGAGCCCAGTGTGGTGGTAAGAGCAGAGGCCTCATGCTCAGGTTGGAAGGTGCAAGCCAGCTTAAAATGAAACTCCTCTTTTTCTCTTAAAACCTGCTCAGTTTCTATCAGCTATCCCTCTTTCTCTCAGCTTCTAGTCTCCTAGCTTCAGGCTAGAGGAGCTGACCTGAGCTCTCTGAACCTACCCATTTCCTGGACAGAAGAGGATCCTCTTCTGCCTATGGGCTGCACCAAAAGACTGGTTTTCTTTGCTTCCTTCGTGTGTGTACTTCCTCAGGTTCCATCAGCCATGAGATTCTCCTATGCAGGAAGAAACTGCACCACGCGGCCGTTTTTGGCAGTGGTTTCAGTTTTATTCACTTGGCACTTCTCCTGGGAGGGCATACCCAGTCCGGCCATTGGTTGCCCGGAGGCACACAGCCTCAGGTTAAGCATCTCTGCCTTCTGGTGTCATCAGGATACTTATCTTCCCCACCTCACTGGTCTCTTCTCTCTTCCAAAGACTGCGTCACAGGCAGACCTGGACGGCTCTTCCTCATCCTTGCCGTCCGACCCCAGCTCTGTTCCTTGCTTTCACTCTTGCCTGTCCTTCCTCCAGGGTTTGTTTGGTTTATCCCTTCCTCCTTTCACCGTGCTGTCTGCAAACTAGGCAGACCCAGCTACAGAGCCTCCCCTTTCCCTGCAGCCGTTTGCATTATTTAGAGGGTCCAGCTAGAACTCCTTAAACTGTTTGTGTCCCTAAAACATAAACTATATGAATTTACTTGTTTACTTTCTAAGACTGTAGAATTGTCTAGCTACACATTGGATATTTTTTAGCCTGGAAATTTCAGGTATTATTTCTAATTCTATCATTCATGCTTAAGTCCATTTATAAAAGACAGTATTAGGTTCCCTTTATCTCACCTTGGGCCTATTTAGAATATTGGTTGAAACTTTCCTGAAGTCTTTTCAAAATCTGTATATTTACTTCATGATTTTGAATCTATAGGTTTTAAGGTTAATATAACCTTAACAGAAAGGCTTCTGAACTTGCCTTATGTAATGGATATTTTAACTTTTATTTTTAAATTTTACATAGAAACATTATGTATATCTTTTTCTTTTTACTCTGATATTCTTACACATATTTTTTCCATGGACAGCCTACCAGTTAATTCAATTAAGTGAGAAAGAGCTATAGTTCTGTATAATAACCTACCTTAAATGTCTGGTTCTCTTATCTGTTTTCCTAAAGTTGATAAAAATCCTTAATTGTAGCCCTTTGACTCTTGTCAGTAGCTTTAATTTGACTTCAAATCTGTCTTCTGTCCTATAAGTTTTATAATTTGTCTTTTTTGTTTTTTAGATGTTTTTTATATTAAGTGGATATTTGTTTGAAATAAGAAAAGAGACCATAATCATTTAAAAGCATAACGAAATGCAGAAAAATAACAAAACTTATTGACAGATACATATTTATCATAATTTTTTCTTATGTATTTTGGCTGTAGTCTTTTTTTTTTTTACTTTTTCTTGGCTACAGTCTTTTGATCACCTCATATGACCACAATTTTTGTAATATTTTCTAATTATTGCAGTGAAAGACAATTCATTACTTCTCCCAAAATGGTTGATCAAAATTTGTTATTTATTATTGATGGCAGGGATGCATAAAACATACTTCTTCAACAGACATATACACTGTTTATAGTATTCTGACACGTTTTATCTCCTACCAACACAAATTCTGTATTACATGATTCCTATCCAAAAAGAAAAACACATATTGGATATATAGTGATATACTCTGTGTAAAATCAAGTATATTCCTGACAGAAGTAGACTTCCATTTTGGCAAGGCATTGATGAGGATTGAGTCTTCTCACAATTTTAAATGTCTGATTATTTGAAGAATTCTGTGTAGACGGCTTCTGGCTCTGTATGCTTCAAGTCAGTTCTCTTCCATTACCCACCTGCCTCGGGTATAGAGCACCACAGGACTGACTGACTTCACCCCGGGGATCCCTGCCTTCTTCCCCCTGCATGTGGACTCGACTTACGGGTTTGTTTCTCGCAAATAGAATATGGTAGAAGTGAAAGGATACTTAGGCAATTAGGTTACGAAAAGACCGTAGTCTCTGTTGGGTCTCCCTCTGAGAGAAGCCTGCTGCCACGTTGTATGTGTCCCTACAGAAAGGCTATGTGGAAAGGAACTGATGTCTTTGGCCAACAGCCAGTGAGAATTAAGGCCTGCCATATAAGCTTGGAAGAGGATCCTCTCCTCATTGAACTTTGTATATAAGAGCCTCTTTGTGAGAGACCCTGAGTCTGAGGCAAACAGCCAGGCTGCACTCAATTCCCGGCCCTCAGAAATTGTGAGATAATAAATGTTGTTTGAAGCTGCGAAGTTTTGTGGCGACTTTTTACACAGCAAGAGACAAGTAATACAAGCTATGTATGACACAAATATTTATGAAATGATATACCTTGCAAATAAAATGTCTAATGATTTTATAAAAGACATAGGTCTGACTGCCAAATAGTGCACCTCTATACCAAAAGGTCTAATTTTTTTTATAAAGTATCATTGATATACTTTAATAAAGTATATAAAGATATACTTCATAAACCTCTTATGAAGGTTTCACATGAACAACACTGGTTTCAACATTCACCCGTGTTAATCAAGTCTTCACCCACCTCACTGCAGTCACTGTCTATCAGTGTAGTAAGATGCTAAAGAGCCATTGTCTTCTTGCTGGACTGCCTTCCCTCTGACTTACAAAAGGCCTAATTTCTAAAATAAAGGACTGGGCCTAATGACATACAAAAACCTGCCTCATTAAATAGCTGAGGGTAAAAGACAAAATTCAGCTTGGGAGCTCAATGAAACTATTTAGATCTCATATGGTTGAGACTAACTCACCAGGCAGCAGGCCTGAAGAACAAAGACTCTGGGCTCAAAAAGTCAGTGTTGGTCTGAGGGCTCCCTGGAATGCTGCCTTGGATGGTCCTTAAAATGACATCGGTGGAAACTCCGGATTCAGAGGATGAGACCACTACTCAATTCCTGAAATAAAAGACAAAGCTGTGTTTATTGCTCATGATGGTGTATCATTTGCTAGGGCTGCCAACCAAGTGCCACAGATTTAAGCACCACCATCAAGGTGTGGGCAGGGGTGGTTTCTCTGTGGCTTGTAGGTGTCATCGTCTACCTGTTACCTCATTTGGTCTTCTCTCTGTGCCTATCTACATCCTAATCTTGTAAGCACACCAGTCACACTGAATCAGGACCCACCCTAAGGAACTTATTTTACCTTAATTATCTCCTTAGAGACCCCATCTCCAAATACTGTCACATTTGAGGAGTCGTAGCTGGGGATTAGGATTTCAGCATAAAAATTTGGGGCTAGTCGGTAGGGGAGATATAATTCAGCTCAAAATATGTTGGTCAGGCACAGTCTCTGCCAGCAGAACAGTGTCCATCTTACCTCAGGTTTTACACAGTGTGGTGTTCAAAGTCACCCTGTGACCTTGGACCTTGAGTGACAGGGACCCCCATGTATTCTCTGATTTATTTTGTGTGTTTGTGATATGTGGGCCCTTTAAAGACCAGCATTCAGGGCAGAAGCCCCCTCGTGTTACTCCAAGCATCCAGAGATTGCCGGATTCACAGACGGGTAGCACTTGAGGTAGGGCTAGTTGGGTCAATCCCAAACTGAGCAAGCCTGAGTGGCAGTGTTCCTGTGCCTATGTTTCTGCCTCCTTTATGCCCATAGTGCATCTGGTGAAGGCTTGTTGAAAGCCTTGTCCTTTTTCAGCTGACTCAAGACCTACCAAAGGGAAGGATCCTTTTTTGCTTTGTGGGAGAAACAGCACAACGTTCAGGGGAGTGTGCTAGTGTTAGGAGTGGTCAATTCGAAGAGCCCAAGGACAAAGTAAAACCTAGGGGACTTCACTGGGCTGCCTGGCTTGGGCCAGGGCAATTTCTGAATAAAGAAACCTTACAGGGTCTGGTGGCTTTTCATTAAGGAGGGTAGCTCTCTTGTTCCATCCCCAGCTTGACTTAACATTCTACCAACATTCTTACCTCACCTAAATGCATGCTTTCTTTGCTGCTCCAGTCCTTGCTTTTAGGGATTTCCAGCACCTGTGCTGCCCGTGGTCCACAGTTGTTTCCAGCATGTTCCCTGGTGAGGTTATTTTACTTATCTACTTGCCCTGCCCTACATACCAGTCACATACTTGTCATCCATCTCTACTCACCAGATGTAGAGCATGGACCTTTGGGGGTCAGAGTAGGTTCAAAATCTAATGTAATCTTAGGCAAGGTACTTAGTTCTGAGTTTCCTTCTCTGAAAAGTTGGCTTAACAGTATTTGGCTGTAAGAGTTAGGTGAATATCCATTTAATTGTGTGTAACACTGCACCTGGTTTATCCTAAGCCTTCAATCCATGTTGACTTGTTGACCACAAAGCAAAGCCTATCTAACTCTCTGAGGGTTAGTGATGGTTGTAGGGCTATTGTTCTGAGGGACAGTGTTTGGAAAGTGCAGGGGGCAGTGGTGAGATAAGAAGAAAGAACTGTATGTCAGTAGAAGGATTTTGGAGAATATTAATTAGTCTTGGGAGATAAGATTTTAAGCCTTATAGAACAGATAATTTTTAAAAAGTTACTGAAGTATAACTGACAGGATAAAGTGCACGTATTTTAACTGTACAGTTGGTAAGTTCTTCCTTGTGTATATTCTATGAACTCATCAGCACAATCAAGATGGTGCACATACCCTGTGAACACAGCTGCCCAGCATCCTTGCTTCTCTGTATCCCTCCCTGCTTCCCTCTTCATCCTCCCTAATCCCAAGCAACCACTGATCTGCTTTCGGTCATTACAGATGTTTGAAATTCTAGATTTATATAAATGAAATTATATAGTACATTTTTTCTGACATTTCACTCAGCATAATTATTTTTATATTTGTATATATCTATAGCTCATTCTTAATGTATATGTATGTATGTATAGATACATAAAATATCTATAGCTCTTTTGTGTAGCTGAACAGTATTCCATTGTTTATCATAAGTAAGTTTGTTCATCTGTGGATGGACATTTGGGTTTTCAGTTTTTGGCTATTACTAAAAATGTTGCTACAAACATGCAAACATTTAAAAATTATTATTAAACATGAGATTTGTTAATGAATATGAAAAAGGATTGAAAGGTTATAAAATGCTGGTTACAATCCTGACTTCTTCATTATTGAGACAGTGAAAAGATCCTGCTTCCCCTCTACTCCCTGAAAAAATACCAGATACGATTAAAAACATAAATGTATCAAATCTGAATCTATGTGGCGAAAGTTGTCATTTACAATATAATTCAAGGTTCTGGGTAAACATGGTATATTGAATATATGCATTTAATTTCCCACCTTCTTCAAAACCCATTAAAACTATGATAAAGAAAAAAGAATTAACACATAACCTACAAGAAAGAGAAGATGAGAGCAGGTAACACTGTTAGAAGCTAGGTAACTGATTAAGCTGACCAGAGAAAGTCCAATTCTAGAAATGCAATGGGAAAAGCTACAGCAAACTTTCATTTGCCCTGAGGAATGAAAACTGGGGAGCATTAAATGTCTCTGGGACTTAAGATTATAGGCTGGAAGGAGGGGCTAAAATGAGCAGCCCTCCTGCAAAGCTGAGTCAGTGAGCTGGAACCCCTGCTCTCACCTTCCCTTCCACCCTGTCAGTGGTCTGTAGAGGGTCCAATATACACACCGGCTCCTAAATACTGAAACTCCTGGTTTTCTCCTTCCACTTGGCTCTGGAACTGTGGCAACCAGACCAACACCGTCTTGGTAGGAGAAAGTCTCTCTGAGTAACCCGTCCAGTCCAAGAAAAAAGACAAATAGTGACATCAGGGGTTACCCATGGACTGCGCAGCCAACTCTACGCTCACCCTTAAGTGGACATAAATCACCCGCCAGCTCAGTGTCTACTCAGCAATTTCTTTTCAATTGAGACCTTGTTTTTCCCTCTCCATCTTATTACTGGAGTCCATTTTGCCTGAAGGGAGATTTAACAGACTCAGTTATTAGTTTTGTCTAGCGTACTACATTTAGCCCACCAACCAACCTTGAATTATAGTGGAAGCACCACGTTTATCATGTGGTCAGCGGGGCTCTACACACACGTGAGGGACTTGGTTCAACAGTCAGTGTGTTTTAACAACTGTTGATCTTTAACTGTCAAATGGTTTAGGCAGTGCTAGATTTTGTGCTTTAAAAAAAAATCATTCCCTGGACAAATACCTTCTAAAAGTACTTCTTAAAGAGAAGACATTCTAGGGCATCCGATCTCTATTGCCCTTAATTCCTCCAGGAATCCTGTGTGGGCACCTTTCCCTTAAGCTTTCTAGATGGTGCACGGCATCCGTACAGCGCAGGCTTCAAGCCCACTGGGGCGGGACCTGCCACGTCCTGGCTCTCGGAGCCTTGGTTTCCGCCCCGGAGGGCGGCTCTGAAGGTTGAAGGACGTGCGGGTGAGGCGCGGTGCTCAGCAGCCGCGCGCAGGGGCCCTGCAGCGATCGGCGTGCCCAAGCTTCGCTGCACCGGCTGGCGGGCCAGATGTCCCGCTCGGGCACGATTTATGTCGTGACAGCGCCAAAAGACACTTCTTACACTCAAATTCTTTCAAAGAAGAAAAACCCATTCTTTGCTGACGGGGTTCTTAATTGGGGTTCACGGACTCCAGAGGCTCTCGAAGTTCGCGGAACGGTACCCAAATGCTGGTCCCAAGAGCCCTCCTGCGTTTGCGGGAAGGACTACCGCTCCCATCGGGCTGGCAGGAGGGCTCTGACCCCAGAAGGCTTAGGAATCCAACCGGCCTTCCAACTAAGCCCGGTTTCGGCGAGACCGCTGCTTTGAGCAGCGTTTCAGTTCGAGCCCTGCGTGGGCGAGGACACGCGGACCCTCCGCCCGCCACTGCTTTCGCCGCTCTGGCAGCGCCCTCGAACCCCGCCCACTCCCGCTCGGGGCGGGGTATCTCCACTGGGCATGCTCACTACCAAGCCCTGGGTTGGCCTCCTAGGCGGAAGCCAGCGCAGGGAGCGTGCGTGTTTTTCCCAGGGTGTTCCGTGCTTCCGTCTCCGCATGCCGGTTTCCTCACGTGGGGTTGTAAGGTCGCAGGTGTATCCACAGAGCAGTTGCCGCCAGACTTCGGCGTCTTTGCGCTTTCCTCCTTTCCTGTCTTTTGTTGACTCCTGTATAACCCTCGTAGGAACCCATTTTGGCTGCAGCGGTGTCCGGGGTGATGTGGACCCCGGAGCTGGCAGTTTTGAGGGGCTTCCCTACTGAGACAGAGCGGCAGCATTGGAAGCAGGAGGGAGTAGCAGGCTCAGGTGAGAGAGCTACACCTGCCAAGGACTTAAGCCAACGTCGAGACTGTGAGGAGAAGGGGTGGAGATAGCTTGTTTTCATCCCATCCTTGTTTTATTGATTTCCTACCAAAATCTAGCTGATTCTTTAAGGCTTTGTGCTGTTGCATCCTTGACATGTTGGGCGTGGTCTTGTCTTTACCCCCAGATTGTTACTGCCCAGGTTCAGTAATACTGACAATGGCAATGTCAGTTACTTTTCTAAATCCTTAACATTATATTAAACTCTTTAATCCTTATAGTAGGCGTGTAAATTACATATTACTTTTAATCCCATTTGGCAGATGAAGACATTTAAGTACGGATTGGATAAGTAATTATTCAGTTAACACAGCTGTGGTAAGCAGAAAAGCTGAAATGAGGCAGCAAAGAGTTAAAAGGCACATTTATTAGGGGGATATAAACACATCTGACTGAGGTATTTAGGCTGGACCTAGAGGATAAATAACAATTTAGGACAGTAGATAAGTGTTCTGTGTGTGTGTGTGTGTACACAATAGGTGTTTCAGGAGAGAATTTCTGAAGTCTTGGGGTCTGGAAGGGTTTTATGGAAGAAGCTCAATTTGAATTGATTTTTGATTAAAGGATAAGTCTTGACAAGTGGAGAGGAGCCCAACAGGAGAAATCACAACTGTAAAGTGTGGAGGTGGGAATGTGTGTGGATAATAGGGGAATAGTGAATGAACCAGCTTTTTATTTCAGCAGAGAGTATGCTGAGGTGGGAGGAGCCAGACCGTGAAAGGTCGTGGAGCCCTGACTATGGGAAATTTTCTGTTGCAGTAGGAATCGCTCTGAGGGTGATAGAACTGAGGAATATTATTCCTAGGCCTTCTGCCTTGCTGCTCATCGTATGGATGAGCTTTCAATTCTATAAGTGATATTTTTGCTCATTGTTCTCTGGTAATGTATAGCAAGCATATAGAATTATATATGGCATTCTAAAGTTGTAGATTTACCTAATAGTATTATCTTTTACAGTATGAAAAAAATGTTCTTTTGTATTATTGGACTAATTTTTTATATTACAGAGAGTGGCTCTTTCCTACAGTTGCTGCTACAAGGGAACTATGAGGCTATACTCTTAAATTCATTGACTCAGAATATTTTAAATTCAACAATGATGGCTGAAGAAAAGATTGACAGCTACCTAGAGAAGCAGATAGTAACATTCCTGGATTACCCAACAGATGTGGACAAAACTGAAAGGTAATTTAAAGTTTTCATAGAGAAACAGATTCTTTCTTCTAGTGTTGCTTATTCTTTGCTCTGCTCAGTTGAGCTGCATTGAGCTTTATATTCTGGCTACCATAGGCTGTGGGTTTGATTTTTTTTCCTTAAAGAATCTTCGTTTTGAGGTAGGGCCTGGGAGATATAGGGAGAAGAAAGCTTTCACTCTCTTCAGAGTGAAACTCCAGGATTCTCTGGCTGTTGTATGTAGGAGTTGAATCCCCACTTCTTTTTATCGTAATCCAGGGGTTGGCAAATTATGGCTGGTGGGCCAAAGTGGCTCAGAATGGTGTTTACCTTTTCAAAGGTTTGGAAAAAAAGAAACACATTTTATCTGCAAAGCCTGAAATATATTTAAGATATGTCCATTTACAGAAAAAGTTTACTCACACCCCATCTTAAGCTGAAGCAGTTTGAAAAAAGTAAGCTCGAGTGAAATTTCTTGGGGTCTTTTTGTACTAGTAGTTTGTAGTACAGGATTAGTAAAATGTAAAAAATGTTATTTAAAGTCACCTTTTTGTTTCCAATTTCCTTTGTATAAAGTCAGTTTTTCATACATCTCTGGCAGTGTTAGAGCTATTCAATAGAATGCCAGAAAAGTGCCTGATCAGGGCCTAAATCAGTGCTGTTCAAGAAAACTTTCTGTGACTCGCAATGTTCTCTGCCCACACTGTCCAGTGCAGTAGCCTCTAGCCACTTTTGGCTGTTGAGCCCTTCAAATGAGTGACTGAGGGACTGAATTTTATATTTTATATAATTGTAATGAACTTAAATTGAAAAGGGCCAAATGTGTCTTGTGGATATAATATTGGACAGTGCAGACCTAAGTTGTTTAGGTCTCAAAGATTTTGTAGTACTGTCATATAATCTCTATAAATGTTGATTGATAGCTTAACATTTTTCTTAATAAAACTGAAATGAATGAAATAGTGTTTGTGGGTATACAGTGATAGTGATTTGTATTTATTTTTTTGCCTGTTCTTATATACAGACAACAGCTGATATTCCTAATTGGGGTGAGCTGTTTGCAACTCTTTGTTCAGAGTAACTGGACGGGGCCCCTCACTGATTTACACCCTCAGAACTTTTTACCATCTGCTTTGTTCCAGCAATTCAGTGAGGTATGCTTCTTGAAAATGTCATTATTATGGCCAGTAATGTCATAGTTATTATTGTGTTACTTATTTTTTAGGACTAGTCTTTATAAACTGGAGTACATAATAGGAAAGAAACATGACTTTATAGTTTGTTCAGAACCTACTAAGATGCCTATTTATTGATCAGATTTTTAAATATTCCAAAAGTTCTGTTGTCAAGCTCCTCTTCATACACTCCCTATTTTATGGGGTTCTGCAGCTCATTTGATTAAAGCCTAGGCAGCTGCTTCAGTTACCTCGATGCATGTATTACCACACTTACATAAAGATATTTTCCGACAGAGCAACAAATCTGGAAATCTGTTTAACTTTGTTAACAGGTAAGTTGGGCTGCTGTGCTTAACAACAGTGCCTGGGAGTGGTTTCTTTTATATTACAAATACTTCCTCCAAGTGCCTGGCCCAGAGGTGCTCCATGGTGATAACAATTATTATTATCTGTGTATGAAGCTGATATTATTGCTCTGCATCAGCAGGCCATCCGTAGAGCTTGTAGTCCACAGTCGTCAGGAGTTTTTGAGCATATGCATAGTGTTTAGTATAATACGCTCTGTAAAAGAAGTGTAGTGACTTTGATTCATCCGGCCACCTCAGAGTAGCTGTCAATCACTCAGCCTTGGATCCCTTAGCTTCCAAAGATTGTGCAGCAAAAGAGAATTATGTACTGTTACTTAGTTTCTCAGGCTTAAAAGTAGCAAATGAAAGGGGGATGGAGTTATTAGAGGTGTTAATCATTTGAAGGTGGGGTAGAAGGGAAGAGGTACAAAAGCAACCCTAATCTGAAAGCCACAATAATTCATTCTGTGTACATCTGTTTAATGAGTCATTATTATATTATAGAGTAATTGAAATTCATAATTCATTATTGGAAGGTTAAAAGATCTTCTGTAGCTTATGTCTAAGAAGGGAATTTAATGTATACTTTACAAAGGATTTCACCCGAAATTGTTAAAATAAAATCCTAAAGATTATGGCACGTAAAGAGAGGTGCTTCAATGATCAGTGATTCACATGCTTCATTGATTCAAATTTACTTATATGGAGCATCTCATTCTCTGTGTTATTGTGGATGAAACAGTTTCTAGCCTCTGTGGTCCTCTAGCATAGGTTAGAAACCTACCAAACAGTAAAAGTTGTAAATATTTACTTTGCTCTGATATTTGCGTGGTGCTTAATTCATCTGTGTTATATCAGTTTGAGGTATTCTGTAGCTGACAAAACTGAAGCTCAGGGTGGTGAAAGAAACTTGTCAGAGGTCTGATAGTTGGAGGATTGGAATCTGCATTTTTTGGGTCCAAAGCCAGTACCCTTTCCACTAAACTAGTGTAGAAGCACCTGTTAAAGTCAGGTAACCACTCACAGCAGTACAAAAATGGGTTATATGAGAGACTCAGACTGTGAGAAATTTTCAAGTTAACCAATAGTTCTCTGGAGAGTGAACTTTGTCAGAGGAGACCTTTCAGTTGGGACTGGACCTTGAACTAGAACCTGGTGGTTGTTGAAAAAATGGATAAGTAGAGAAGAGGATGAACACATTCTAGGTACAATCATATGAGCAGAAGTTTAGAGGGGAGAAAGGTACCATGTTGTGGGAAAGGGGTGCTTTGAGCCTGTTTGAGTAGCAGCATCAGACTCAATGACATTCAGTCCAGCCTGTGGGAAACTTTGACTAAGACCTGGGTTTTCATTTTTTTATTAGCACTACTTCATACACTCAAAAAAGCATATAAGATATGTACAGTAATGAGACTCCTTTATTCCCACTGTGTAGCAAGAGAGAGAACATTCCTAGCATCGTGGAGCAGGGCTTCCCAGCTGCTCCTGCCAAGCTGGTGGGCCCCCCCTGCCATCGCAGTGGCTGTGCGGGCCTGTGCTGGGGGTGCCTGGGAGCCAGGCTCTGCTGGTGGAGCGGCCTTCTCTCATCACCTGGTGTGCTCTGACTTGGAAAAGGTTGGGAAGTACTGCTTTGGAGGGGCCCCCATGTGTACCTTCTGATAGCATCCCAGCCCACCTCTGTCATGGATTTTGTGTTGATCATTTCTTTGATTTACTTCATAGTTTTAGCACCTATGGAAGTAGCCCTAGAAAATGTATTAAGTTTTGCCATTTCTGAACTTTATATAAATGAAACACACTCTGTGTATTCTTCTGTGTCTTGCTTTGCTCAATGGTATATTTTTGAAATGCCGTTACTCATTTTTATCATTGTATTCCAGTTGAATGAATATACCTCAGTTTATATATCTGTTCTACTCTTGATGGCCATATGGTATGTTTCTATATTCTGCAATATATTATCTACAGTGCTATCAGGAACACATCTTCTGGAAATCATTTGCAAGAGTGTCAAAACACAGTGTACTTAAAAAGATAGTGTGTGTGCAGTGTGCTGAGAGGAGGAGGCTCTGTTTACTGGCCCCCAGGTACAGCTGGGCACCTGGAGGGTGATGGGATGGGTAGTTTCACACACTTGCAAGCCCTTCCCAGCACTAAGTTGGGAAGCTGTGCTGTAGTGTATATGTTTGTGAGTGGAGTTGCTGTGCCCCAGAGTATATGCATATTCAACTCTTCTTGGTAATATCAGATTGTTTTAAAAGAATTATTCAACTTAATATGCTCTTTTTTCCAGCAATCTGAGGATCTGGAAGCTTGTGGGGAGCAGCACACTGGTATTTTCTAGTTGTCATTTTTTTGTACTGATTATGTCTTCAATTATCATGAAGCACAAATACTTGTGAACATACTTTATGATCATGAAGTCTAGTCACCAAAGTCAAATTAATTTTTCCTGCCTCTAACTTATGGCCTTGGCATTTTTGGCACTGTTTCTGACCTCTGCTGCTAACCAGCCTCAGAGGAATAGCATTGAAGGTCCATGTCTGAGTATTTGGTCCCTTCTCACCCATAAAACTTGATCTGGTAATCTGGTTTTATATTACATTTGTCTCAGGCTTCCAGATGTTGAATTTTTTTCAGTATGATGCTGATAAATATGTATTTTTTATATATATCATATGCTTCCTTGACTGAGGAATTGTTCCTAAAGACTGGGTTTTCATTTTTTTATTAGCACTACTTCATACACTCAAAAAAGCATATAAGATATGTACAGTAATGAGACTCCTTTATTCCCACTGTGTAGCAAGAGAGAGAACATTCCTAGCATCGTGGAGCAGGGCTTCCCAGCTGCTCCTGCCAAGCTGGTGGGTCCCCCCTGCCATCGCAGTGGCTGTGCGGGCCTGTGCTGGGGGTGCCTGGGAGCCAGGCTCTGCTGGTGGAGCGGCCTTCTCTCATCACCTGGTGTGCTCTGACTTGGAAAAGGTTGGGAAGTACTGCTTTGGAGGGGCCCCCATGTGTACCTTCTGATAGCATCCCAGCCCACCTCTGTCATGGATTTTGTGTTGATCATTTCTTTGATTTACTTCATAGTTTTAGCACCTATGGAAGTAGCCCTAGAAAATGTATTAAGTTTTGCCATTTCTGAACTTTATATAAATGAAACACACTCTGTGTATTCTTCTGTGTCTTGCTTTGCTCAATGGTATATTTTTGAAATGCCGTTACTCATTTTTATCATTGTATTCCAGTTGAATGAATATACCTCAGTTTATATATCTGTTCTACTCTTGATGGCCATATGGTATGTTTCTATATTCTGCAATATATTATCTACAGTGCTATCAGGAACACATCTTCTGGAAATCATTTGCAAGAGTGTCAAAACACAGTGTACTTAAAAAGATAGTGTGTGTGCAGTGTGCTGAGAGGAGGAGGCTCTGTTTACTGGCCCCCAGGTACAGCTGGGCACCTGGAGGGTGATGGGATGGGTAGTTTCACACACTTGCAAGCCCTTCCCAGCACTAAGTTGGGAAGCTGTGCTGTAGTGTATATGTTTGTGAGTGGAGTTGCTGTGCCCCAGAGTATATGCATATTCAACTCTTCTTGGTAATATCAGATTGTTTTAAAAGAATTATTCAACTTAATATGCTCTTTTTTCCAGCAATCTGAGGATCTGGAAGCTTGTGGGGAGCAGCACACTGGTATTTTCTAGTTGTCATTTTTTTGTACTGATTATGTCTTCAATTATCATGAAGCACAAATACTTGTGAACATACTTTATGATCATGAAGTCTAGTCACCAAAGTCAAATTAATTTTTCCTGCCTCTAACTTATGGCCTTGGCATTTTTGGCACTGTTTCTGACCTCTGCTGCTAACCAGCCTCAGAGGAATAGCATTGAAGGTCCATGTCTGAGTATTTGGTCCCTTCTCACCCATAAAACTTGATCTGGTAATCTGGTTTTATATTACATTTGTCTCAGGCTTCCAGATGTTGAATTTTTTTCAGTATGATGCTGATAAATATGTATTTTTTATATATATCATATGCTTCCTTGACTGAGGAATTGTTCCTAAAGGAGTTGTAACCTTCGCTCTGTCTATTTTCATTGAAAATGTAAACAATCCTCTTTAAAAAAAATGGACCGTTTCCCAAACCCTCTGGAAGTACGTTTAGAACTCAGTCGGAGTATCAGTGTTGTATCACTGGGGTAGGCAGAAGCTGGTTTACTTAAGCAGAAGATAGAAAAGCATTTAATTTTTTCATGATGATATTAGGGATATAAATTTTTTTATTCATAGATTCACTCATTTATTCATTATTTGCCTTGTTAATACCATCTCCAGAGAACTTTGAGTTAAGAGTAGGAGATATAGTAACCAACCCCTGGCATTGAGTATCAGAGGCAATGATATCCAGGTAGTGTATTATAGGCTTGTTGTATAATTTTTAATTTGTTGCCTTATTAAGTTACTTGCTTGTTATTTATATTTAGGGATTCCATTTAGAAGATAATGATATAAATTTTTGCTAGAACTGGTAGACATATTCCTCATCTCAAAGTAATTAGAATAAAGATCATTAGTTTGGTTTGGACTTTAGGAAAGGAAGACAACTATATCCATCTAAATGACAAGATGATTTGAAGGCTGCAGGTTCAGTTTGGCACATTAAGCAAGTTCTTCTCTTGGGTTCTTAAGTCAGTATGTTTGCTTGTACATTTAGGACCTCCACTTGGAGGTCTCCCAGGATACCTCAGACTCATCATGTCCAAGACTGAACTCATGGTGAAATTCTTCTCGAAACCAGGTCCTCTAGTTTTCTAGTGTCCATGTCAGTTACCCGCACTCTAGTTGTCCCAGCCAGAAGCCTAGAGGTGACCTTGGCCCTGTCCTTAAGTCCTGGTGCTCAGTGGAGCTCTGGACCCTGCTGAGGGGCAGGAGGAGGTAGAGATGTATGAGAAAGGCAGCATGGGCTGGTAGGAAGAACATTGGTCTGGGAGTTGGGAAGCTTGGGCTGTAATGACTGTTCAGATACTACTTTCTGTGTCGTTTTGGATTGCCCTTAATTTCCACAGCTATTTCTTGCCCTCATTGAATACATTAATAAAGTATTAAACGAGGTACTGGCATTACCAGGATTATTTAATTTAGTCCTTACAAGAAACTCTGTGAGGTGTAGGTTCTATTATTTCATTTTACAATTGATGAAATGGAGTCTTCAGGTTCAAAATTTACCTATAGCCACAAACTAATGCGCAAAAAGGGCACTATCCTGTGTCTGTTTCATTAGAGCCCATGTTCCTAACAGGTAAGCATTCCTGCCCTCTATTTTGTGGCAGCTGTCAGAATTATGCAGTCCACATTTTAGCAACACAGGTGCCTTGTCCATTATAGAAAAGTCTCTGTTCAGCTGAGGAGTGGGTATTTCACAGGTGTCCCTTTTTGCGACCTGTTCTCCTGGCCCGTAGTTGTAAGCCTGCTCAGCGTTTGATGAGTAAGACCTTGCTGTGTGTTTGGCTTGACAGGAGCTATGGAGCAGATATGCTCTGTGATGGCATTTGCTAGTGAGTGAAGCACATGAAGTGTGGGTGTTAATGTGTTTATATTAATAAATATTATTAAATTATATTTCATAATAAATACCTTAACATAAGGATGCTTTTATTGAAATGGTATTTTGTAAGTAAAGAAACAAATGCTTCTTCAGTCTACCATTTTCTTGAGATACCTGTTCCTCTAAAGTTTGAACAGATGGGTGGCCAACAGTCAGAGTGGGTTGGATTTATACATCTGGGAGGGCGTTTCTAATGTTGTGATTCTGTCCGGTGCCAGTTGCTGTATAATAGATTAATGCCTTTGTTTCAAAACTGAATTAACTGAAACATATGAATTTTTAAAAGGCCTTAATATTTTGTTAAATTATATCATCCTATCTTACACGTTTTTTGTCTTTCAGGTCAAAGGCCTGGATGCAGTTGTTCTGAATCTGCTCGTTATGGATGGTGAATCAGTCTATAGCCTGACCTTGAGGCCTATACTGCTGTTAATTGCACGGGTTATCCTAGTGAATGTAAGACATAAACTGACAGACATACAGGTAAGAGAAGAAAGGAGCCAGGAGATTTATACCCAGGTGTGACTTTCGTGCTAATTAGCATCAGACGTTAGTTATGATATCAGCAGTGTCTTGACATATGTTTTCTAAGTCTTTTTTAGGTATTTGATTTTTTAAATCTGATGAATATAAGCAAAAACCTTCTCCTTCTGTGAGATTCATCTAGTATAAAAAGAGTTGAGTCTCTTGTAAGAGGAGTGTGTGTGTGTGTGTGTGTGTGTGTGTGTGTGTGTGTGTGTGTGTTCGTGCTGGTGTATAACTGCTCATTCTCTGAATCTGTAATATGGGTTAAAACAGCCTTCCTAGTCTTTGATGAATTCACATAAGGGCAAATGAACTAGAGAAAGAATTGCAGTACTTCTGCAGTGGATTTTAAGTACTGTTTCCTGGCTCACATTCTATCATGTTCATTATTTGGGTTGGATTTGGCAGAGCATTTTTGAATACCTGTTATATGGTTTCTTTAGGTCACATATAAATTAGGGAGAAGAAGCACACTCACAGAAAGATAAAATGTAGTAGGAGGTGACAAAAGCTACAAGAAAGATATAAAGCAAGTCTTGAAGGTTTAGTGGGATTGTGAGCTTGTGCAGTCTCTGTTGCAGCTACTCACCTCTGCCACTATCAGCTCTGCATGATGGTGTGGAAGCAGCTGCAGACAATACATAAGCAAACAGGCGTGACTGCCCCAGTGAAGCTGTATGATGGATGCTGAGACTTAAATGTCATATGCCTTTCACACATCACAAGATATATATATTTTTTAATGATTTAAAAATGTAAACACTTTTTAATTCTTGGGCTGTACAAAAATAGACATGGGCTGAATTTGACGCACAGGCTTGCTGACTCCTGTTCTGATTGTGGCCACTAGGGGAAGCAGACCCTGCATTGCCAAAAATAGAAAAATCTATATTGTATGACAAATCTCCTGATTTCTAAGTGTTGGCTGAAAATATTCAAGAAGTTGAATATTTCTGTGGGCAGAATGTAGGCTCAGTCTGTACTGTGCAAGGGCTTCCTTTCCTAAGCATTTAAGTTGAGACAAAGATGACTTAAGAAGGGAAATGATGCCCAACCACAACTCACATGAGAGCCAAAGGATTTGGACACAGTTATAGTAGCAGCGTTTTTAATAAATGGATTTCAACATGTCCTAGCAGACATATGGTCTAATTTTTCATTTTTTAGCACTTTAAGCTTGAATAAAACACTTTTCCTGATTTGATCTGAGTTAAATGGTCTTATAGACTGACTCATGCTTTGCTGTAAAGAAAATATAACCAAAGCAAGAGGCTGCCAAATGGCATTTTTTTCTTTTTAGTGAGACTAATTGGTCATTAAAGAGTGAGTGAGACAGTTTTAATTTTGATGGTGGAAAACTTTCATCAGCAAATACGTTAAGGATAATTTGGAAAATGATACATGTACTGTCAACAACTTAGGAAAACAAGTAACGGAACTGCTGCTAAGATGTCAGACATTTGTAGGGTCGCAGAGACAAGTTACCTGAATTTCTTGGCATATGTTAAACAAATTTTGTGCTTAAAACCATGTTTTCTTGTTTGTTACCATGGAAAGATATTTCTGTGCTGAACTCTTGCCTTGCAGTTAAAACAGTAAAGTTTTTTCCCTTTGGGCCTTAAATATATCATTCCCAAATGAGGATGTTAAAAGTGACTTCTTTGATAAATGAAGATGAAATGATAAAGAAGCAACACATTACTAATCCAAGTTACTTTTAACCTTTTAAGTTTGAATAGGCTGACTCCTAAGGAATATATCAAGTTGTGTATTATGATACTGTTTTTGTGGAACTTTGTAAGAGAAGATGGTGTTCCCTCAGCCCCTAATCTGTGAAGTGCATAGACTAGTATTAATAATGTGTACCTGTTGAATAAAAGAGTCTTGGCTCTGAAATAAGACCAGAGTTTGTCTGGCTCAGCTACTTAACAGCTGTGTGACCTTATGCTAGTTAATTTCTCTGAATATCAGTTTCCTTATTTATGAAGTAGAATAAGTTGATGAAGATTTATTGGGTGCCATTGGAGTACAGTGATGCTTCCTGTCTTCAAGGAGGTCAGGAACATCAGAGCAGTTCTAACAAGTGTTCAAGGAGGCCAAGAACTAACATGGCTTCTCCATCAGAGCAGCTCTAACAAGTGTTCTCATCAGGAGACAGGATCTAGAAGCTACCTTTTTCATGAACACATCAAATTTTCTATTAAGCAATTCTTGGCAAATAGAAAAAGACAATTTTATTATCTAGTAGAAAAATAGGTTATACTTGCTTTATTTTTTTCACACTCCTCTTTCCCCCAGATAAAGATTTTGGGTTAAGAGTTGATTTATACATTTTGATTGTTAAAGAGTTCAGCATCTTATATTGTATGTTTTCTTAAAAGAGCAGTCTCCTTGACTGGCTCTATCTAAATTTCCATGTCTAGAAAAGGAAAGAATATGCTGCCAAACCTGACTCACTGCTGACAGCAGATAAGGGACAGATAGCTGTAATGTAGCCTGATTTTTTTTTTTGGCCTAAGTGATAGGAAAAGAATGCAAATGAGGCAATACCTCAGGGAATTAAATTTAAAATGATGGGCAACTTCCTTCTCTTAGATAATTCTGCCTTGCCTTACATGGACTGAGGAAACAGCATTAATAATTAGAAAGGATTTTGTCATAGTGTCAGAATTCATTTGTATTGCAGTATTGTTGAAACAGTGGTATGTAGCAGTTTAGAAGGGAACCAGGCAATTTTACTCCTTAATCAAATTAAGAAATTAAGTTAAAGTAAAAAAATTGCTTTTTGTAATTAACCATGGTCTCCTATTGGTAGGTATTGCATTTTAAAAAGGGAAAATTAATTTCTTTCACCTTCATGCAATATATTTCAAAGTGACATAGCTGTAATTAATTTAGATAATTTGACGTATGATCATACTTGATACTTTAATGAGACTATCAAAAATACTTTATCTTATATCATATTCATACACACATACAGGCACATAGGAAGATCTAGAAGACTATAAACCTTTGTCATGAATTTTTCTGGAGGACGGGAATGTGCTTCCATATTGGCTACTTGCTTGTTTCTGTTCTTTTTTCTTTTTTTTTAATAAGACAAATTGATCAAGTAAGAATAAGTATCAGAGAATAGAGAAAAAGGTAATATGTTCTCTGTGTGTTGGTCAAGACAATTTATAAGATGTGATCTCTATCCTTAAAAATATTTGGACCAGGTAGAGTTATCCACTTGAAAATAAGTGCTGTTTAATGTGGTGCTTATTCTAGGAAGACTGTAGAAGTTCAGAGAAATGACTGACCAATGTATGCCATGCTAGCGGAGAAGGTTTCATGGAACAGGTTTCACAAAGCGATGGAAGGGATGTTCCTAGGTGTTTCTTACTATGTGTCTGTGCAAAGTCCTTTGCTTTGAGGAGGATACAGAGATGAGTAGGATGTGATTTCTCATCTTATTGAATAGCTGGCAGACAATATCGGAAGCTAGGGATGACATACATGAATATAGTGAGCTGTGTTTACAAAGGGTGGTACAGATAATGTGATGGAAGTTCAGGCAAGGGGAAGAATTACCCCCATGGGAGGTTCTTGAAGGAGGCAAGGAGTTGGTGCTTGGCTTATGGCACTGATAGCATGCCACAGCAGAGCCAGAGGCTTACAGCAGATTTCTCATTTATTATTTATTTATGTATTTATTAAGGTACCATTGATATACAATCTTATGAAGGTTTCACATTAACAACATTGTGGTTTCAACATTCACCCATATTCTCAAATTCCACCCCCAACCCCATAGCAATCACTGTCCATCAGTGTAGTGAGATACAGCAGACATTTTAAAGGAGGAGGTCATTTAAGTTCCAAATGGCATCACGAAGGCTAACTGGCTTAAAATACAGGCTTTGAGAGAACAGCGGACAGATGTTATTCTTGCCCAAGAGGTAGAAGTGAATTTGGGTATTATTATTATTGAAGACATAACAGTAGATGGATACTCTTAGTGATGAAGAAGTTCAATTTCACAAAAGTAAAAAAGAAATTCTAACAATTAATTTAAATTAATGTAAAAATTTTTTTCCAGAGGGTCCTTTTACCTCAGCTTATGTGGTGCTTTCCTTTTCTAGAGCTTGCCCTGGTGGACTTTGAGGTGTGTGAATATTCATCAGCACTTGCTCGAGGAACGCTCACCTCAGCTGTTTGCTCTGGCTGAAGACTCTATTGATCAAGGTATGGGGCAAATTTTGTTTGATATGGAAATGTAGCTCCATTCTCATTTCTTGGCTGAAACATTCCTTTTTAGTTTATTCTTTGACAGGTAATAGTAACTTTTTGTTTGAAGTTGTTTCATTTTGTTATTTATTTCTGGGTATGGAATATCATGAATTATTAGGGTGTCAGATTATACAATATCTTTTGTCTTTGAGTTTCAAAAGAGGCAATCACCGTCATTTATATTACCTATGTAGGAAGAGTGATTTGTTCTGTGTAGATCACCATGATTTTATAACGAATTGCTTAAACATATATTAATATTTTCTCTGTTGTTTAAGAAGCTTCATTGGAAACAAATGTAAACTCCCTTTATTTAAAAAAAAACCCTTAGCTCATGAGCTCGAGTAAATTATGCCAGAGTACATACAGAATAGGAAATTATCCTACATTCTTTTGAGTACATGAAAAAAGGTCTCATTTGTTTAACATGTGATAGAAAATGCATTTAAGGATGACAGTGGGTTAGAGAGGCATTTTTACATTTTGTTTTTATTATTTTTTATTGTAATATGTACATATAGAAAGGTGCCTACAATATAAGTGAAAAATTTACCAAGTATAAAACACACATTCATGTAAATACCTCCCGTGGCCCTTGGTGCTGATACCCTTTATGTTTTCTGGGGAAGCATTTTGAAAAGGGATTCTTGGGGACCTTGACACTTGAGGGTACTTTAATTCCTTGAGCTTTTGGAATGATTATTCTTGGCAAAAGTTGTAAAACAAAACAAAACAAGAGAAAAGAGAAATTCTCTGTTATGAAGGAAATCTTGAACACAAATAGACTTGGACTCTGCAGTGAGCTTCTGAGTTACAGAGAAGAGAGTTGACTTTAGGTGTGTCTAATTACAAAGTGCGTGCTCCTTTAGGTTGCAAGGGTTTGGAGAAATATGTATATATATGTATGCATAGATGTGCACAGTAATAACCCTTATCCAGTTTCTCTGGTTGACCGTGGTCTGGAAGCAGTTGATCCTCTTGATGAATATCATAAGGTCAGTAGTAGCCTAACACTACGTCGCAATGCCTGCATCATTCACTTCACTTCATCTCTTCACACAGGCATTTTATCATCTCACATCATCATAAGGAGAAGGGTAGGTACAGTACAATAAAATATTTTAAGAGAGAGATCACATTCACATCACTTTTATTACAGTATGTTATAATTATTCTACTTTATTAGTTGTTAATCCCTTACTATGCCTAATTTATTAATTACACTTTATCATAGGTACATATGTATAAGAAAAAATTTAGTATTTCTAGGGTTTGGTGGTTTCAGACATCCACTGGGGGTCTTGGAACGCAATCCCCGTGGATAAGGTGGGAACTACCGTGTAAGGAGTGAGGGCAGTGGTGGTCAGCATCACCGTGGGTGCAGAGGCAGTGATCTACACTGGATGGAGGTAGTAGTTTCATAAAGGCACAAAATAATTCCTCCCGCCTATGTAATTGCAAGAAGCTCTTGTACCTTTCAGGAGTCTCTTTCCTTCAAGGGTACATCTGTGTATTAACAAGCTAGGCTAGAATGCACTAGAGAGGACATTAGTTTGTGCACTAATATTAATAAGCTAGGTGATTGGTTTGAAACTAATTTCTCAATTTTTATTTTGTTCTGGGACAGAAATACATAAGCATATGCTAATCTGAGATAAAATGAATATCTATACATGATTCAGAAAGAGAATACTAAGGGAAGATTATTCAGTCAGTATAATAATTGATTCATTTATGTTGTTTATACCAGAGCTTAGATCTGTATTCTTTCAGGATGTTATGTAATGTAAGGCTATGGACAAGCGAAGGCATGTTAGATCAAACTTTATAAATATAAACAACTGTTTATTTTACCATGGGATTTAAACCTGATGTGATAGCAGATTAGTTGCTTTATTACATGTAAGGAGTTTACTTTTGTGCATAGTAATATTTCTTCAGGAAAAATCTGTCATTTTCCTGCAGAAATCTGTAGTTTAGTGCTTTTGGATTGTAAAAGATTTTTATGAGCAAATTTAGCCTATTGAACCATCTATATTTTCAGTAAGATTGTAAAACTCTCTAGGTTGTGAGCTCCTTGAAGGTTGACCTGTTTTGTTTCACTCCTTTCTACTTAGCATGGTGCCTAGAAACTAGTAAATAGTACATATTTGTTGACTAGCAACAGCTACTGTTTACTGAACTCCTTCTATATGCATTTTTTAGGAGAGAAGTTGTAGAACTCTATTTGTCCTCTAGTGTGATAGCAGTTTTTATCTGAGTTAACTTCTATACAAGAGTTTTTTTTTAAATTGAATATTATAGAAGTTATGAGAAAATCAATCCTACCCAGATACTATATGGGACTTTGTCTCATAATAGTGTTGCCTATGTGTGGAGTTCTCTTCAGAATGAATTATGAAGTGGGAGTTGGAGAAATTAAGACCTGAAGCCCCAGTTAGGAGACATCATTTTCTTCTAATTTTAGTAAAATGAAAAATGTGTAGACTAAGTCTTGCCCCATTCATGCCACTGCATATTTCTGAAATGAATTGAGATACACTTCAGAAACAAATTTAGAAATTTAGTGCAAGAAAGAAAGAAGAATGGCAATAAGCTTCTAGTTCATGAAATTGGGTAAAAATTTGAAAACCAAGGATGTATTGAATGTCTTTGATAGTAATGGAGAAAACAGTTTATTTTTTCCAGAGGATGGTGAAAATATTTGAAATAAGATGGTATCAGGATTCAGCCCACTATTTAATCATGTAAAAAGATAATTACGTTATACTGTATAGGATATTACATGGTTTCCAGTGCTTCATTATACTGTTTTGGGTATATGAAAAAAAAAAAGGTGTTACTGGGAGGCTTTTTTGCCTTTTTTTTTTTTTTTTAAAGTAGATCAAGTTTGGTTGCAGTTGCTATAGGGGAAGTCACGTTTCTTCCCTTAATTACATATTATATAAATCTGCATTATGTCTACATCTTTACTGCATTATGTCTACTAATGTTCATAATGATGACCCTTAATTATTAAGAAAAAAGTACTTTCCTTCTGTGCCATTTTATTTTATTTTTTCAATTTTAGTTTTTTAAAGTGTGCAATGTGATATATTTTGATGTTATACTCCATTTTAAAAGGTAGTAACCATTTGGTATGTTTTAGAGAGAATTCTTTTCTAAGAGGTAAAATTAAATTCCCAAACAGAAAAGGTTTACTACGATATCTGGAAAATATGACTCTCAGTGACTCATTCCCCAAGTGGTCTCAATCCTTTTCTGCAGTGTATTTTAGCATATTGTTTGATTTGCCATGCAACTAAGAATTTTTATGTTGTTCTAGGCTGATCAATGACATTTTTCATTTTATCTCGTCATAAATTGGTCCATTTTGGCTATGTCTGAATAAGGTCTGCAGATAGTCTTAAATGGCAACATTTAATACCACAATTCTATTTCAAAAAATATTTTGTCCTGGGATTTGGCCCAAATGTTGACCAAGCAGTCAGTTATACTGAAATAGTTTTCAGAGTCCAGAGAAGGATATTGTATTTGAAACCTTGCCCTTGAAAGATCATCAAAAAGTTGGCAGGATTTTTTTTTCAGTTCTTGAAACATAAGCAAACATTTTATGAACAACTGTGATCTTTATATTTTTGTCCAGGAATGTTACATCAGTACAGTTTAGTAGATTAGAGCCCATCAGAATGTCAGCATAACTTTGTTGGACTGATCACATCTATGGAAGGAGTAAGTTAGACTCTTGAACAGTGTGCTCCTCAGCACCATCTTAGCCACTTTTTCAGATATCACAGCAATGGAACCATGCTTCTCTAAAGACTGCTTAAGGGCACACACCATTTATTGTGGGGTTGGATCCTGAAAACTGTGGAGTGCATGAGATGTCATATTGTGGTTTAGCTATTTGAAGATGAGCTTATGAAGAAGTCACTGTCTAAGAGAAAACAGGTTAAAATGTTATATGTTACAGTTCTGCTGTAACATCTGCAGCAGTTTTCTGACTTTAGGGTTAGATTGTTTCCACATGGAAAGAGTTGTTCAAGAGATTAGTTTCTTGGTGACTGATGTATTTCTTTATTAAAAAAATTGATACTTTGGAATGAATGTTATTAATGTACTAAATATGATTAATCATAATTATCCATAGGGATTTCATTTTAACATAGCATTCAAATAATCGCATGAGAACAGGTTTTGTTTTTAAATGTACCAGTTGCCTTTTGATCCAGAAGGTCATGAATATTCATTTCTGTGAAGAACCTACTGATTTGTTAAAATAATAATTGGATGTCTATTGGGTCAACATACTCCTATTTTTATTTAAACCTTGAGTTATCCAAACCTCAAAACCTAGTGTTCATAGTTGATTCATTATTTTCCATCCGTGCATATCTAAGCCAGTTCTTAAATCTTATCCATTCTTCCCTAAGGGTCCCAAGTCCATCCTTCTTTCCGATTTCTACAACTCAGTCCTGCAACTCAACCCAGTCCACGTCCAAAATCTTTCATTTGGAATGGCCCCTTAGAGATTATCTTGTCCAGCTAACTAACTCATTTTTAAAAAGAACTGAGACTCAGATTGCCCAAGAATCAGAACTATGATCTAGAGTTTCCAACTCAAAGTCCTGCTTACTTTTCTTACAATTACATTTCTCCAAACTGGTCAGTAAGGCAGAATTCTAGTATCTAATAAAATAATGCAGTTAATATTTTCTATCCTGTTTACTCCATACCAAGCACTGTTTTAAGTCTTTAAATATATTAACTAGTTTATTCCTTACAACAACTCTGTGAGATAGAACTGACTTACTTAGTGTTATTAGGACAGTTTAAATTTGATAGTCTTCTTAGACCTGAATCAGCTTTCACAACCTAACAAGTCTACTTAAGCACACAAATGGCCTTTTTGTAATATTTTGTGAGGATTTTTTAAAAACTCTGGCAAAGCTTCACATCCCCTGATACATGTTTGCATCCAGAACCTTTACTGATGGGAAGATCACTGTCATTGATAACTAAGCAAAACTGTATCACTTGAGAATTGTGCTAAGATCATAGAAGGTTTCTGAGAGTAATGGCTAGACACTCAGAAATAATGGGCAGGAAAAAGGAAAAGAAAGTTGAGAAAGAAGTACTCACCAAGAACACTGAGTATCATCAAATTCAGCTTGAATTTGGGGTGCATGGAGGAAATCTGAAAAATTTTTCTGTGTGCAAAGTTCATGTTTGGATGCCTGTCTGCCTTTGAAGCAAGACAAACACATCTTGACTTAATCTCTTTGAGTCCAGAGAATATCTAAAAGGCTGGCAGTAAAAAGAAAAATACTATCTTTCTTTTTCAGACTCAATTTTAATTTCAGTTCACAGTATGACAAAGAATATCTATTTCTTAGCTATAGGTGTTTCTGTCAGATTACTAGGTGATAAAGTAGATTGGATTTTGTAACATCACCTCTACACCTTTGTCCTTCCTCTGCCAGCTCCATCACCTCTGTTTTTCTAATAAGCTTGGATTGAAATCCTGGCTTTGCCACTTAACAACTGCGGGTAAAATTGCAATATTTCCAGAACCTCTTACCTGGCCTTAGTCCATCTCCATATCAGTAGGTGATTCCATGGTGTAGTGAGGGCATATCTGGACCAGAGACGTTGGGTGGGTCCCTTTTTGCAGCCAGGCCATGAGAGACACGGGTGAGCAGAAGTGGATGACTGCTTGTGAACAATAAACAGAATTTTTCCACTTTATTTCTCCCTGTGGCTGATTTTGGTTTCAAAGGTAATTTGGCCCAGGCTGGGACACAGATTTTTCCCCACAGAGTTACAACTCAGGTGACTAGTCAGCAAGCTGTCTGAGTTCAATTTTAATGAACTAAATGGGGATAATGTCAACTTCAAAACGTCATTGTGAGAATTAAATAATATGTAGAAGACGTAGTGTTAGGCAGACGAGACATTCAGTAAATATCATTTCCCTTTCTGCTTGAATGATAGAAAACTGATTCTCAGTCTTTGGACATTGGAAGTACATTTTCTGCTCATTCATTATGGAATTTTTCTTGTGGATTGCTGTGATGTGCTGACTAACCCATTACTGGACACATTTGTGAGGGATAATTTGGCAAGGATACTGTAGAGGGATGTATGAGATAATTTGTAGACACCTCCTGCAATGTGTGTATGTCAGCGAGCCTCTTTGTTACATATAGCTAATTTTGACAGCCATTTTATATTTCAGATACTATTTACTAGATTATAATTTTCCCACCTTTTCAAGTCAGGTATTTAGAGAAGTACATTAGAATCTAACTGCTAAGCCAATATTTATTGTGTATTTCATACATGTACTTAGATATGTATGTATATATATATATAGTGTTATCCTTTATACATTTTACATGTGTGTATATAATTGTTTCCCTTTTTTATGAGGGAAACTATCTGTAAACTTATCTCTTCCTTAGATTTTCTGTATTGTTATTTATAGAATCATTTGGTACTTTGTATCATCACCTGTGTTATCTTATTTTTATAGCATGATTTAGACAAATAAGGAAGAGCGGTTTATGAATCATATCTCCTATGATTATGTGTCATTAAGGAGGTTATGTGTTTATAATATCCTTATCTTTGCGCTGGGAACATGTGAGTGCTCAGAGAATGCTACCTGTGAACTATTATTATAAGTGTCTTCCTCATCTCATCATTTAATTTTAAATTAAAGATTTCATCAAATATTTAAAATTCTTTAAGAGCAGGGACTATGTAATATATATACTTCACATATTATGGACTGAACATTTTACTCAATAGATTTTTTTTGGTGTAGTTTTTTACTTTATTCATGTAGATCTTAAGCCTATAGCTGATTAATTTTGAGTAATGTATTCAGTTCGTGTTACCAAGACCCAGATTAAGATAAAGAACATTCTTATCACCGCAGAAACATTTCACTCTTTTACTCTGCCCCTAGAGACAATCCATTATTCTAATTTCTATTATCAAAGATTACTTTTGTCAGTTCTTGAACTTCACATAAATGGACTCAGACTGTATGTACTCTTTTTTTGACTAGCTTCTTTTGTTTGAGTCAAGATTCTTCCACTTCTTTGACAAGATTCTTCCAGTGATAAATTGCATTTATCAGCAATTTGTTTTTTTTCATTCCATTGCATAAATATACCATAGTTTGTTTATCCATTCTCCTAATGATGAGTTAGGACCTCCAACTGACTAAGATACACATCAAACACATTTAGGTTGTTTCCAGTTTGGTGCTGTTACAAATAAAGCTGCCATGACCATTTTTGTGCAGAATTTTTGTCATTTGTTTCTCTTGGGTAGGTACAGGTGTATATGTGTACAGAATTTTAAGAGATGTTAATGCTTATTGATTAAATGCTCCCACAAGACATTAAAGCTTATTAATTAAATTAATGATTATTTAGATTTACCATTTTTAATGTTCTTTATTCCTTCATTCATCTCCAACCATTCATCTAGAATAAAATTCCTTCTGCTTGAGATTTAGTGCCCCTCTGCTTGTGGCTAACATTGTTAGGTTTGGTTTGTCTGAGTCAATCTTTATTTCACCTTTGTTTGTTTGTTTGTTTTATTGAAGTATTGTTGTTTTTCAATCTTATATTGGTTTCAAGTATACAGCACAGTATTTCAGCAGTTCTCCATATTATTAAATCTTCACCCCCAGTAGTGCAGTTACTATCAGATGTTAGAGAATCACTGGCTGTATTCTCCATGCTGTACTACCATCCCTGTGACCAATTTACATTATGATCAGAATTTTTGTACCTTTTTATCTGCACCCCCTCCCCACCCAGCTACCCCAACCCCTTTCTCATGGTAATCACCAGTCAATTCTCAGTGTCTATGCATCGACTGTTACTTTGTTCATTTTGTTTTGTTTTGTTGTGTTTTTATAGTCCACAAGTAAGTGAAATCATATCGTTTTGTCTTTCTCTACCTGGCTTATTTCTCTTAGCATAATACCCTCTAGGTCCATCCATGTTGTCACAAATGGCAGTATTTCTTTTTTTTTAATAGCTGAATAATATTTCGTTGTGTATATGTATCCATTCATTTATTGATGGACACTTTGGTTGCTTCCATATCTTGGCTATTGCAAATAATGCTGCGATAAACATAGCAGGTGCATGTATCTTTTTGAATCAGGGATTTTGTTTTCTTTGGGTAAATTCCTAGAAGTGGAATTACTGGGTTGTATGGTACTTCTATTTTAAGTTTTTTTTTGCAAAACTCCAGACTGCTTTCCACAGTGGCTGCACCAATTTACATTCCCACCAGCAATGTAGGAGGTCTCCTTTTCTCCACATCCTCATTTACTCAGTCTATCTTTATTTTCATCAGTTTTAAATGTTTCATCTTTTGTCTTGCAGTGATGAAACTAGAGAATCTATTTATTGATGATTCTGGCAAATATTTGGCTATTCAATTCCATCTGGAATGTGCTTACGTATTTTTATATTACTATGAATATAAAAAAGCAAAAGATCAGTTTGACATTGCTAAAGACATCAGCAAATTACAAATTAATTTAACAGGTAAGACTTTTTCCTTTTGTGAGTAATTGATTTGTTTTAGTGATAAAACTAATATATACACTGGCAGTTTGGCTGTGTAGTATGGTTGTAGTTGATTTTTTATGTCCTTTGCTTTACAAAAAAATAGATTGAACTTTTGACCATTTGGCTGTGGATGTGACCCTATTAAAGTCCCTCCTGACTCCCAAGTTGTAGTTTGACGTCTTAACATTGCCCTTTCTAATAAATACTTACCTTGCTTTTTGGTATTCTTTAAGAACAGAAATTTTTAACTATTCTGTTTAGATATTTAACACTCACAATACAATTTAATATGATTTAATACAAAAACCCTTAAAATGTCTGGCAAATAGTTGGCACTCAGTAAAGAATTGTTGAGTGAACAAATAAATTACAGAATTTCTCCAAAAACCTCTGTGTTAATTCTGAATGCCAAATAAGAAACATTGGTTTCTTTTTATCTGTTGCTGTATCCCTAATCTCACAATACAACTGGCATTCAATATTGAATACGCTAATGAAAGTCAGACATCATTAGTTGATCACACCATTTTTACCTGTGGAATTTCGGCTCAGCATTCCAAGCTGTGATTACCAGTCTGGGAATGTTGAAATGACTGAACCGGTTTGTCTTCTTTAGCATAGGTCTAGTTTATCTCCAAGACCCATTTTTAGCCATTAGGTTCTTTGCTGCTTATTGAGTTGGCCTGTCAATAAAATCCTTAAAATGTATTATAAGTTAAATATGAGTTTGTGACCTAGTCTGGGATCTTAACCATCTTTTATTACATTGTTTGTGTTGGAGAAAAGTATTAAACATTCTTCTTATAACTTTTGTTGTAACAATGGCCATGGTAAGTTGAAGTCTTCTCTGTATTTGAAAATAGAGTTATATGTAACATAACTTGTGAGGTTAATTTCAAAGATCATACTTTTGAAATATTTTGGTCTTCAGGGAAATTTTTTGGACTGTTTAAAAACTCATAGCACAGTACTCTGTCTAGTTAGCTTTAACTATTGATACATTAACTAGCTAGTTCTTCATATTTTGTTCCAAGTTAGGAGTGAAGAACTTAAAATACAAACGTGGTGCTCACAAATATAAAATGAGAATCAGATTATTAGTTTTTTTCATTCAGTTGTAGCTTTACTATAAAAAAGTAAGTTGCATTAGACCATCTCAGTAGCTATTTTCAGTGTAACATGTTTAAAAAGTTGATGTATAACTTAGAGCCAGACTCATCACACGATAAAATCCAGACTTCTTGGACTGGTCTTTGGAATCAAGGTCTTTGTAATCTGATTCTTGCCAGAGAATGGATGTTAGAACTTTTGATTCTCTTAAAGCTATTCTGCAGCAAGTTATTTCAGATACAGAATAAAAAAATATTGATATTAAATGAAGCCAGACAGTGTAACAGACTGGGATTTAGGCCCCTGGAGACCCTGGCTTTAAGCTCTGGCTCTGATTCTAAGAAGCCCTGTGATCTTCAGCAAGCGGCCACACCTCAGACCCTCCATTTTTTCATCTTTTATATGGAGATGATAGTATTTCTTCTACCTTTGAAACTTAATGAGTTACTCCTTTTTGAGGAAGGAAATAGTTTGATGCAAAAGTAAGTGTGTGAAATCAAGTGGCAGACATCCTGGGTTTGAATTCTAGCCCAGAGCTTATTGGCTTTATCATTTTGTAAGTCATTTTAAAATCGTCATTGGACTTCAGGTTTCTCCTATGTGAAATAGAGAAAATGCCTTATAAACTTTAAAGTGCTATGAAAATATTACTCCTTATAACTGTACAGTAGATCTGATTGACAAGTCAATAAATATAATTTTATATATTTTTTTCAGGTGCTTTGGGAAAAAGGACACAGTTCCAGGAAAATTATGTGGCACAACTTATTCTAGATGTAAGAAGGGGAGAGGATGTCTTTTCAGATTGTGAGTTCAGCCCAGCACCCACTCCTCAGGAACATTTAACCAAGGTGAGTAGGATTGTAAGGTATTTAAATTAACCTCCAAGGGTAACAGTTTTAATAGGTGAGTTTTATAGAAACCCTGAACTGGGTGGGAAGACCTTAATTTTATCTGTTCTTGAGCTTTTTCAAGGTGGCTTGGGAGCAAAAAAAGCCCCCAAAATGCAACCCCATGTTTAAGCCTTTTTTACCCTTAAGTAGAGATAAAATGTTACTTTTCTTCTCAACTTCAGTAAATAAGAATTAATAATGCAGTTAGTTATGTGTTACCGACCTCCCTGAAGAAATCCAAAGGCAGACTGAGTAGATATTAATGTTCTAGTTGCTACCATATTTATTGCCTTACTTTTGCCTTCTGTGGATACTTTTGAACATTGAGAGACCTTGAAATTTCTTGGGCCCTTTTTAAATATGCAAACAGGTGATCAGAACTCCTTTTCTGATCTGTCTTTTTACTCTGTCATTATTGGGCTGGTCCTACCTTAGTTCTTCTTGAGCTGCCAAATGTATTCTTCCCTGGTAGCTTAAATTTATGGCGGTCATTGGCATTTGTGTTTTCTTATCCCAGAGACCCCAGACCAACACTCTTAGGTGTCCTGTGGTTGCTGTCACTGCCCTGGAAGCCCATGTCTTGCTGCTCTTTATTACAGAGCCTGCAGATGAATTTATCTTAGATACACTGTATGCTAAAATTTTCTTCTTTACTGAAAGTAGCACCAGGATGGGGACTGGGGACTGGAAGGAAGAGTGCTAGCAGGTGAAGTCCCAAGGAAGGCCTCTGATGAGACACTGCACACCTCTTGGGCCTGCTCCCAGCGTTGTCTGGCTTGCTTTTGTGGTAACTTCAGGGAGGAACCGCTGTTGGTTCTCAGAGGGGAAGGAAGGAAGGAAGGGAAAGATGTCAATGTCGATCTCAGGGATGAGATCACGCAAGGTGTGGTTTATGCTTCCTCAGGTGGGTTGAGCCACAGCTGGACAGGTGTTTGTGTTGCTGCTGGTCAGGGAACTGTGCTGTTCCTTGCTTCCTCCTTATATATACTGGACTGTCCTCCTTGCACCTTTTCATATAACCCAAGTCCAGTCCTAAGTCTTAGATTAATGTCGTAAGCTTGATTTTTAGGCCAAAGCACAGCTTTGATGAAAACAGATTTAATTCTGCAATCCAGGCATTTAATTCACTAATCTATTGTTTTTTTATATGGAGTTCGCCTGTTGAAAAATATCTCCTATGATGATAAACAGGATATGATGACTGTTATGAGGAATGTATAAAAATGATGTACAATTTAATGTAATATGTTTTATCTTTCATATTTGAAAGAAAATATATTCGGGTAACCTTATGATCTCCATTAATTACTACTAAAGGGTAGAAAGTGTAAATTATGTGATGTAGGTTTGGATTAAATAGAAACAGCTTTATACTCATGGTTGGGAGGTAGATCTTATTTAATTATAGATAATACATCCTTATGTCATAGACACTTCAGTTATAAAATCCACTACTTGTTTAATAACCACTCTTCAGGGAAAAAAGCACTGTCATATTTTAGTCATTTCAAAATATTCCGATGGTTAGAAATAGTACAGTGTGAAAATATGTATCTGAGAATTGAGGAAGTACAGTAATTTTACTGCCAGTGAGGAACATAATGTTTCCCAGGTATTTAATGTGTCATTAATGGGGAATTACAAACTAAAGCTATTGGATATTAGGAATTAGTAAGCCAAAAATTATGAGCCACCCAATGTGGAGATCAAACACACAGTCTCTGTGTTAGTTGTTCAATTGTTGCATGGAGGAGAATAAATTAAAATTGTGTATTCACAGAAAAGACAAAGGCATATGTGATCAGCATCACTTAAAAGGAAATATGTATTAAATGCTAAATATGTTGAATCCCACACATTGGAGGTAAATTGTGTGCTAATTTCTTGATTCAGTAGAATGTTATGAAATTCAAGTGGGACTAAGGTAGAACAGTACTTTAAATTTGGGCTTGTTAGATAAGTCAGTAAGTATGTGGAAGACCCATTATAATTTCAAAATAGAACCAAATAGGAATGGAGAATTTTGAATAAAGACCAGAACTATTTTGTTCACTTGTTTTTTCTGGCAAGTCAGTGCTGCCCCATTACTCACACCGACATGTCTCAGGTCTTCTGTGTCGGAGGGGAAGAGTCCCATGGCTGGAAGGACGAGACGGGCTCCTCTCCTGTCCTCGTTGTTAGCCTGGATGAGAACCTGGGGAAGTTACTGCATTCTTAGTTTCATCATTTGTTTTACATCACACTTTGTGAAGGAATCAGATTAGATCTATAAAGGTTCCCCACAAGTGTGTTATTAATCATTGGGTATTAATAAGCAGTCTGATGCAACCCTATAAGATGCAGAAAGGCGAGAGTTTGGGGATATTCGGAGCTGTACTGTCCAGTACGGTAGCTATCCGCCAAATGTGATTATTAATCACTTGGAGGTGGTTGACCCAAATGAGATGTGCTGAAGTGTAAAGGACACACCAGATTTCATAGACTGTGTTCATGAAAAAGAATATATAGTATCTTATTAATAATTTTCTATTGATACGTGTTACAAGGATATTTTTGATGTGTTAGGTAAAACTTTTTTTTTTTTGCTTTTTAAGTGTGGCCATTAGAAAATTTAAAATTGCATGAGGTTTTAAAATTATGCAAAGCCTGTGCTGGAAATGGACAGCCGCCAGGGTGTGCTGCATACATGCCAGCCCCCTTTGGAAGGGTGCTCATTCAGGGAGGAAGAGCCACTTTGTCAGTGGATTCTCAGCAGCAGCCTCAGGTTCTGTGTTTGTCCAGTCAGCAGTTGCTGATCAGAGGTTGTATACTCTTTGCTTGAAACCTTGTAGATAGAGCAAGGCCTGCAGTTAGGGTGAGCTTGAGGACGAAAGGAAAGCTGTTCCTTTGGGCTGTGATTTGGACAGATTAACTGCTTACCAGTTAAGAGGTTTGACCTTTTAGCCATAGACAACTTCCAGCTTTCTGAAACTGGAGGGTTCTGCTTACAATTTGTTCCTAAAGTCTTCCTAGTTTTAGCTACTTTTATTGAATTTGAAAAAATTTTAATCGTATGGAGTTTTGACAGTTAGACCCTGTAATTACCACTGTAAATAAAGAATCATTTCCCTTACACCAGAAGGCCCACTCATACTCCTTTTCAGTGACTCGCTTTCCTTCCCCTGCTCTGCTTTCTGTGAACTGCTTTTTTCTAGAATTTCAAATACATTGAATTATATAGTATGACTCTTCTGTCTGGTTTCTTTCAACTCTCCTATATGTCATGGAGCAGTGTGAGCTAAAGTGTCAAATCATACATTACATCCCTAGGACTTACTTATGTTACACCTGGAAGTTTGTACCTCTTGACCACCTTCTACCAAGTCCCCTTTGCCTTTGGTAACCACAAGTCTGATCTCTTTTTCTGAGGTTTTTTTTTCTTCTATTTTTAGATTCCACGTGTCAGTGAGATTATTTGTCATTCTCTGTCTGACTTATTTCACTAAGCATAATGCCTTCAGGGTCCATTTTTGTTGTTGCAACTAGTAGGGTATCCTCATTTTCTGTGGCTGAATTTTATCTGTGTGTGTGTGTGTACACACCACAACTTCTTTATCCATTCATCCACTGATTGACACTTTGGTTGTTTCCAACATAATGTTTTTGGGATTGATTCATCCATGTTTTGTTGATACCAATAGTTTGTTCCTGTTTATTGCTAGGTATTATTTCGCTGTGTGGTTGGTAGTTTATCCATTCACCTTTTGGTGGACAATTGAGCTGTTTTCTGTTTTGTTATTAGTCTTTGGCTGTTATGAATAAAGGTGCCTGAACATTTGTGGTTCACATATGTTTTTAATTCTTCTGAGTAAATACCTAGGAGTGGAATGCCTGGGTTGTGTGGTAAGTGTGTTTTTAACTTGATGAGAAGCTGGCAAACTGTTTTCCAAAGTGGTGGTACTGATTCACATCCCATCATCAGTGTTTGAGAGCACCAGTTGCCAATGTTTGGTATTGTTAGTGTTTTAAATTTTGCCATTCTACTGAGTATGTGTGTAGGGGTATCTCATTTGGGTTTAGCTATTTTTTGGTAATTCATTTTTTTAAATACGTTCTAAAAAATATTACTTATAAGCAGAAAAGTTAACCCATTTTAATTGATGAGGTTAAACCCATTCGTTTGATAAGATTTAACAAATACATACACCCAACCATTACAGTTAGGATGTGTTTCATTCCCAGAAAGTTTTGCCATGCTCCTTTGTAGTTAATTCCCTACCACTCTGGCCCTAAACAATCATCAATCTGCTTTCTGTGACTACAGAGAGTTTGCCTTTTCTAGAATTTTATACAAATGGACTTATGCTTCACATGCCTTTAGTATCTGGCCTCTTTGTTCAGTAGGATGTTACTGAGATTTACCTGTGGTTGCATGTGTCAGTAGTTCCTTTTTATTGCTGATTAGAATTCCGTGGGTTGAACATTGCATTTCTTTAAATTTGTTTACCTGTTGACAGACATTTGGATTGTTTCCAGTTTGGGGCTTTACAGATAAAACTACAAAATAAATTCATGTCTTTGTGTGGATATATGTTTTTATTTCTCATGGGAAACTACTTAGAGTGAAATTGGTAGCTTATATGGTAAATGTATGTTAATTTTAAGAAACTGGCAGACTGTTTACTGTTGTACCATTTTATATTTCTACCAGCAGTGTATGAAATTTCTAATTGTTCCAGATCCTTTTCAACATTTAGTATTGTCAGTCTTTTTAATTAGTATTTCCCTGTTGATGATTGTTGTCAAGGATTTTAGGCCACTTGTGATTGTCTTTTATGAAGTGTCTGTTCAAATCTTTTGTCCATTTTTATATTGGCTTATCTTCCAGTTGTGTTGTAAGAGTTTTCCATATTCTGAATACAAGTACTTTTTCAGATATGTATTTTGTGAATATATCCTCTGAGCCTGTAGCTTCACTTTTCATTTTCTAAACAATGTTTTCAAAGAGCAGAAATATTTAATTTAATCAAGTCCAGTTTATTAAGTTTTTCTCTGATGGCTCAGTTTTTTTTATGTCCTAATTAAGGACTGTCTGCCTACCTCAAAGTTAAAAATCTTCTCCTATGATTTCTTCAATAAATCTTTAAGTGCTAGCTTCTACATTAGGGTTTGTGATAAATTTTGATTTAATTTTTGTGTATGGTATGAGGTAAGAGTAGAGGATCATTTTTTTGCCATATGGATATCAGTTGTACCAATATCATTTATTGAAAAGACTTTACAATATTGAATCACCTAGGCACTTTTGTTGACAATCAGTTAATCACATAATGTGGGTTTAAAATTTTGGACTCTGTTCTCTTCCATTCATCTGTATGTCTATCTTCATGCCAATACTACACTGTCTTTGCCTTGTAGTAATTCTTGAAATCAAGTACTCTATCAAGCATTCAAAGTCCTCAGATTTTATTCTTTTTCAAATCATTTTGGCTATTCCAAATTCTGCTGAGAAATAGAATTGGGAGTTGATGTTTTAGGCTAGAACTTTGAGGCAGAGTAGAAAGATCTGGTTTTGAATCCTGGTGCATCAGTTAGAGGGGCTTTTGCTTACTAAGTTTAATCAATGATAGCTGCTAATCCTATTAATTATATTATGAGTGCATCCTGAGGTATAGATAACATTTCCTCCACTTCTACATAGTAAATTTTCCCCCAAATAAGCATTTCACAAGAAACAGCCCAATGACCATCTATAGACACTGTACACTCTTTAAACAAAAGGTCAGTTATCCCTACCAGCAGTCAGTTGCATACAGTCTGCTGAAGGAATCAAATTAATTTTTGGGCTAAATATTTTCTTTTGTATTCCACTAGAATCTTGAGCTCAATGATGATACCATTCTAAATGAGATAAAGTTAGCAGATTGTGAGCAATTTCAGATGCCCAACCTCTGTGCTGAAGAACTTGCTGTTATCCTTGGAATCTGGTGAGTAAATGACTTATTGGCAAATTTGAACATCTTGCAGGTTGGTTCTCTTGTGTTGGAGAAATATTTATTGAGGGATGCCCCAAGAGTCCCAGATGAATAGGGCATTTGTAATCTTAGGAAATCGAGACTAGTTAGGCCATCAATCAAAGGGTTAGAGATTAGGAATGTCAGGAATCTCCTGTGAGTTGGTATACTTATCCTTCTCTTCATTCAAAGAAGTAAAATTTCTGTGGTTAGCCTTTACTAGGAATAGATTTAGGGTATTTAGGATAGGTGAGAATGTCAATTTGACCTTTGAGGATATTTACATTTCAAAGGATAGAATTATTTTTTAATACTATAAAACTTTATGTGTGGTAGGTCCAGTTTTTCCTTTTGTTTTTCTTTTCTATTTTGAAATAAATTTAAATTTGGATCAAAGTTGGAAGGGCAAGGCATCATGAAGAGCTTTTGAGAATAATTTTCTAATATGATACTCTCTCACCCTTTAGTACTTTAGTGTGTGTTTCCAACAAGCAGGGTTATTTTTGTACATAGCCACAATAGAGCTATCAAAATCACGAAATCAACATTCATACTTTACTATCATTTCATACTCAGACCCCATTCAAGTTTTGTCAGTTTTTGCAAGAATCTTCATAGCACAGGATCTAGTCTAGAATATATGTGTTACATTGAATTGTCATGCCTCTTTAGTTTCTGTCAGTCTGAAATAATTCCTCATTTTTGCTTGACTTGCATGATCTTGACACTTTTGAAATTTATAAGCCAGTTATTCTGTAGACTTTCTATCAGTTTGAATTTGTCTGTTTTTTTGTTTTGTTTTGTTTTATGACTAGATTCACATTATGCCTCACTAGCAAGGATATCAGAGGAGGGAAGTTTTGTGGGTCTTCTTGTAGCCTACCAGGAATCCCTGGAAGGGATCACATGTATAGAGTTCTGTTTCTAAATCCAAATAGCTTGTCCTGTCATGTTATTTGATTCCAGCTGTAGAATTTATGCTTACTATTGAAAAATTATTTGTCTAATTCATAGTGATACTTAGTATATAGATAGTATACGTAACCATTTATAAGCAATACTATGTGCTAGGAATTATACCATGTACTTTCACATTATCCCTCATTAATGTTCTAACAACACTAGAGGTTGTATTTCTATTTTTCATTTGGGAAATCAGGATTCAAATAGCTAAACAACTTGTTCAGAATTACAAAACATTAATTAGGGCTTCAATCCAGGTTTTACTGACCCAAATTCTGAGTTTTCCTTTGTGCTGTTTCTTAAAACATTATTTTAACAATTTCATAATTGTCAACTCATCAGAAAATTAAATCAAACCACATATATATATATATGTATATATATATATATATATGTATATTCCCAGGCATTGTGTCAGTGGACCTTCAGCTGTACTGAGTTATACTTCACAGTTGAGAGAGGACCAAAAAACCAAGAAAAGGCTTATCTACAAACACTGTTTTTTTTCCCAAATAAATCTTGGTGAAATCTTGATAGAAGAGTTAAAAGTACTGAATGGACTTCATGGGTGATTTAAATCTTCATTGTTTAGTGAAAACTATTTGATTATTTTCTGAATCTTGGAGTTCCTGATGCAGCTTATAAACCTCTGTGTTAGAACTTCAGTGAATTGATGATTTGTGCAAACTGAGCTACTGTTGGAGTTTGTGAAGGGTGATTTGTTATGCTACCTGATCTCTGCCTGATCCCTATAGTCACTAACCCCTGTGCAGAGGTGACTTGGGCAGTACGGTAGGCTGGGCTGCTTTAGAGAGGAGCCATAGAAAAGGCAAATTCTTACAGATAATAGGTTGGTGAAACAGTGGGGCTAGCTTCATGCACCTTCCTGTCTACTCTTGTCCTTTGCTGGCCTCCTGCTTGAGTTTCATTTTCTCTGAAGATCACATGCTGCAGCTTGCCCCATGTGTCTTATACTCTGTAAGCCTGCTTGGCTTTTGTAGGAATTCCTTAAACACAGCCGCCCTTTGGGAATTCAAACTGGAGTGGGGAAGGTAATTCCTTTTAAATTAACAGTCTCATTTTCAGGTTTGCAAAACAGTATATTCTAAGCCTACATCAGTAATTATGGTAAAGGATGGTGGCCTGACTCAGTGACTGTGTCATTAATTATTTGTTATGAGCCTGTAGCATTTCACTTTATCTGTATACTTCATGTGGTGAATTTAGGATTGGAATTTTGTATGTGAGAGATGAATGTTAATCCATTTTGGATGAGGTTCTTATCTTGGAATGACTTTTAATGCTCTGTTCACTCATCAGAATCACAGTCTTAGCACTGAAAGGCCCTCAGGTTAATTGGATCTTCTTTGCACCTGATACATAATTTTTTTGTATAGTTAAACTAGAAATGACTAAGTGTATATGTCTGTGTGTTTGTATGTTTTAAGCAAATTATTTCCTAATAGTTTCCCCTTGATTCACTTATTTTTTCTTACCAACAATAAAAATAAGTTCATTCAAGAATTATTAAGTAGACATTTTAGGCTTATAAAATCCCCTAGCAATATTGAAAATTATAAGGAAGCGATACAATTTTGTGGTGTTTGCTTTTCATTTTTAAATATAAGTAATATTTACATACAGAAGAATTTAAAAATATATGCAAATGTAAATTAAATAGTATAATTATAAAATGAACTTGCCACACAAGTTAAGAACTAGGAGATTACAAATGCCATTAGCCCAGTCAGTGTGCTTCTCCGTCTCATCCTCCTGCCTTTCCTAAAAGCTAATGCTATCCTGAATTTTGTCATTTTCTTGATTTTTAAAAAAATAATATTTACTCACATGTTTTTAATATCTCTAAGTCAGTTGTCTCATTTTGTTTGTCTTTGAGCTTTGTGACAGCAGTATCTTACTATATGTAGTCTGTGGTTTGTTTTTTTCTCATTATTGTGTTTCTATGATTCACTCATGTTTTATATGTGGCTACAACTTACTTCGCAGTGTATAGTGTTCCATTGGGTGAATATTTCATAATTGTAAGTCTCCTGTTGGACATTTGGGTTGTTTACAGATTTTTTCTATTACATAGAGTATTACTATGGATATTTGTGTATATGATTCCTGGCCCAAGAATTTCTGGTTCCACAGTTACTGGTTCTAGAATTTCTCTGGGCTTATACCTAGGATGGAATTACTAAGGTCAGGATATGTGAATGTTCATGTTTCAAGACAGTGCTAAATTGTTTCCCAGTATTTTTCTACCAAAGCATATTTGGAACAGCAGGGTCCAAGAATTCCCATTTTTCTGTCTCTTTGACAACTTATTAATTTTGCCTATCTAATGGTTATGGTAATTACTTTTTTTGGCATGGGTTTAATAGGAGTTGGTGCCATATTAATTCATTTCATTTTCTTTGTGGAGTGGCACAGATTGGACCACTTTTTTCCTAGTAGAATAAATTATGTTGCTATTTAATACCCCAACCACATTTTATTTGTCAACATTTTATTACTTTTTGAACTTATTTTTGACACTCATGTCCTTATTTGTATATAATGCAATAATATTAAAATATATGCTTTCAAATATATATGGTTTATGTTGCCTTCCTAAAGATTATATTTCGTTAGTACAACATGCATTTTAGAACTAACTTGACTTTTTTAAAATTTAAAGCACAAATTTCCAAAAGAATAACCCAGTGCATAAGCTAACTGAAGAGGAGCTGCTGGCATTTACATCAGTGAGTGATGTCTTTTTCCTTTCCATTTTGTTTTTTTCTCTTGCAAATTATTTTGCCTCTGGTATATTCTTGTCTCAGATTGTTTATGGTGAAACACTGCTTAAGGAAATTAAGGGAAAGAAACCTCATCATTTTAGTTTACAAACTACATGTATTCTGCTATTGATTTAAACATAAGCATCTTTCTTTGTACTGGCTTGGATTTGAGGGTAGTGACCAAATATTTCTTGTTCATTGTTTGATCTCAGGGCCCAGTCCACATAGTGAGTGTTCAATAAATGTTGAATGAATAAATGAAGTGACAGAGCAAGAGTTTGAGTATGTACCTCTTTTGTCTAAAACTGAGGGTGATGCCTACATGAGTGTTATGAGAAAGAACTTCAGAGAGCTGGGCACAAGGCCATGGCAGTGTGGGGGACAGGTTGAGGCAGGAGGTGTTGTCCAGAGCAGGGCAGGGTGCTCATCAGCATTCAACTGTGTAGAGTGGTTAGGAGAAGTGGGGACAAAGGAAAGGCTATGGGAAAAATTAAGAGAATTAAGGAAGAAATAGGGTGGAAGAGAATAAAGTTGATAAAGGCCACAGATGGAGAAGAATAGCAAATAAAAGGAAAGATAGAGTAACAGATGTTTAAGGATTCGAGATCAAAGAAGGCTTCTCAAGAAGAGGGAAGTCCCAGAGCAAGGGGCCAGCCAGTATCTTTTTAGGTTTCTGGATAAAAGGCTACACATGTATAGTGAACACAAGTTGTTTAGGATAAGTCATTTTTTTCAAAGGCATTCTTATTATCATAGTTAGGAATCAAGTTAGAATTCTGTTTTCTTCCTATGTTATTTTTCAGGTAGGGCAAAAATGAAGTACTTTTATCTGGTAGAAGGAAAAGTTATCTTACTTTGTACAGGAATATAAATTTTGCAAATTACTGTTCCCTACATAAAGTTTTGGAACCAGTTGGATGTTAATCCTTTAGGTCCTCTGGGCGCCTCGTTTATTTTCCCACTTCAGTATTCTTAGAACTCTGGTGTTTATCATTATATATCATTATCTGTGTTTAGTTAACTATGTGAAATTTTTCTGTTATTCATTACATATGCTATAAAGAATTTGACAAATAAAATGTTAAACAATTTTAAAAGATATATTAAAAAAATTATTGTTTACCTCCCATTTATTCATTCAGCTAATATCTATTGAATACTTAATATATACCAAGCCTTTTGCTGGGAATTGGGGAGATAGCAGTAAACAATGTCATTTCCTTCTTGGAGTTTACATCAGTTTACTCTCTTGTGGGGAAATACATAGACAAAGAGAAAAATGGATAGTAAATGGATTTGCTCAGGAGAACTATAGAGGGTAAGAGCATAAGAATGGGAAGGGGGTGCTGTTTTATTTATTTATTTACTTACTTACTTATTTTGTTATCATTAATCTACAATTACGTGAAGACTATTATGTTTACTAGGCTCCCTCTTTCACCAAGTCCCCCCCACACAGGGGGGTGCTGTTTTAGATGAGGTGGTGGGGAGGATTCCTTCTCAGTGGGAAGCTGACATTGAGCAGGGGTCTGCATAAATGGCACAGGGAAGGAAGGATGTGGAGGGTCTGGAAGGTTGTATGTTCAAGTCAGTGCAGGGAAGTACAGAGCTGGATGTGAGCAAGTCTACGTGATAAATGATGACCAGGGCACTTGGGTTTCTTCTGATGACTGACGTAAACAGGCTCTAACATGTGATAGGAATGTTCCTGTTGGCTTCCCAGGGGAGGATGGTCAGCAGATACAGCTACTTGGGACTGGTCTCATAAGCAGTTTATTGTGGTATATATATTATCCACAGTTATACTGAAAGGACACTAAAATACTCTATTCACATTCAAGTAGTTAAAATTCTTTTACTGTTTTTTGTGGATCCTTTTTCACTTTTTCTCCTAGTTCTCTGATTCCTCCTGCCTCACCCTGTTCTGGTTCTATACTGTGATATACTGCTGAGGTAATGAACTCTGGTGGCTTCTGAGGGTAGGTAATTCATCCTTCCAAGCTTGTAATGAAGGTCATAAATTCAAGTTGCATTCTTTCCTCCAAGAGCTTTATAATCCATAATTTTTTTGCTCTCTATCCTCCTCCAGTTCTCTTCCATATCAGAGGGGGCCTGAGGACTGATTGGAGGAAAGCTGTTAGATTACAGTGATGCCCGGTGCCAGGCCTGCCTCCTAAGGAGATGAGTTTGTTAATTCCAATTAAATCTTTAACTGGTAAGAGGTAGGTCTCAGAACTTCTATGTGAGGAGGGCTTTTAGGAACTCCATGCATACTTTGGGCCCTGTACCACTCCCTTCTTTTTTCTTTAATCCCAAAAGAAACATACAGAATATACCATAAAAATCCAGATCGGCCCATGTCAACTCTTCCTTGCATTCATCAGCCCTTCCTCTCATTCCTTTTCTATGCATGATACTGATGCCAACAATAAGGTAAATTAGAAGTGGCCCCTGGTTTCTATGAAGAATTTCATTGAAATGTATATAACTATATATCCTATATGTAAGTATCCTTTACTTGTATCCTGTATAACTCCACTAGAATATTTGAGGCAAGAGGGAACAGTTTAAGGTGCCACCTCACTTCTGAACTCTTGAACTTTTATCTGTGACTCTCTTCTAACAAGGATCATATCTGGGCTTATAATATCATTATTTACATATATGCCCTGTCTTCCCCATAAGACTAAACTCTCCAATTTAGGGACTGGGCTCTGCTCTTTTTTGTTCTTCTACAAGGCCTGGTATGGTGCTTCAATGCTTTATTCACTGTAAATGTACATAGAGTAAGAGGATGAGTGGAATATGCTAAAGCCCTGGAGCAGGATTTATGTCTTCCCTGCAGTTTGGTGCTGCATTGCTCTGCTTTGTTTCATGATCTAGGTAGTGCTGCATGATGGTAAAGATAACCATGTATTTTGTCGTCTTCTGTAACATGAGGGAAGATAGGATGTGCCCCTTCTTCTGCACTGAATGTTTTTTTTGAGGATCAAATCACAGAATGTATGAAAGTACTTTAGTATAGGCAGAGGCTGGCACACCCATAGCAGTCAGGAAGACAGCATTCCTGTTTTCAAGGACTAGGAATTCCTAAGTGGATCAGACCTACTTGGCTTTGGCTATAGATGTAGGAGAGAAGGGAGCAGAGGGGAAAGAAACAGCATACTCGTTCTTGCTGGGCATCTTCTCCCAGCTCTGATGGTGATGTGGTGGCCTGGGACTGGAGTTGTGAACTATTGAGGCTTTAAAGTGTCTTCCTTGGTTGATAACAGAGCAAGGACAATAGAAGTCTTAATACTCCTACCAGGGGATGGTAAGCATTTGGATGGATAGGGACCATAGTATTGGATATTTGGTAAATATTTACTGTATAAACAAATGAATGGCTTATTGGTACTGAATTTTGTTCAACTTTAATAAACTTTCTTGAAGTTTACTAAAATGATGGTGAAATCTGTTTTGCAGAAATTTTTGTCAGTGTTCTTATGTTGGTGTAGCATGTTTAAATATATGTGAGATACATTGAGAAAATGTTTTAATTCAGCAATGTCAGAAGCCTGTCCTAAAAGGAATACTTTACATTTTTAAGGTTTTCGTTATGTAGTGGTGCTGCTTCTGAGATACTCTATCTACATGTTTCAGGAAAACTCAGTGAGTCATAGTAAAAATAACCCACATTGTTTTAGAGAACCAGCTATGTTGTATCAGCTTGATAATTTAAAATTAGCCATGTTATCTGTATTATTTCCTTTCAGATGAGCCAAGTCAGTGACATTCGGTAATGCTGTTAATTTCCTTTCATTGTTGAAAATGGGAACAAGTTAGTTAATTCATACAGGTGTTTCAGTTTTCATTGGCAAAAGTTTTGCTTAATTGTGAATTAATACTGGCAGCCTGCCTTCTGACTGTCTGCCTGAAGCCCTACAGTCTCTGTGTATGAAAAAAGGAAAAGACCTTTGATAGTTACCCATTATTTTGTATTTTCTCATTCTCCTATTTGTTTTAAAGCCTTTTAATAAATACTTACTGTGAACATAAACTAGTTTGCTAACCATTTTTACAGATTAATATTTAGTTTTAAGAGATAAAAATGAAATTATTTTTCTGCTAGTACATACTCATTTCTTAATTTTTTAAGATAGGCAATATAAGTTTCTGAGATAGCCATATAATTTTGATACTTTGTGTTAGCATTTCATGATGATATGTCCTATATTAAGCAGGATAGTCTAGCATTTTGATTTTCTTCCTGGTTTGAATACTTGTCTCTCAAAATGTTACTTGTGCATTTTAATCTATCAGGCATTCATTGATCCTAAACCTTGTAGCTATCTCTAGGTTATAACTTGGTAACTTTTAAAGAAACAGGAGGTTTTTTTTTTTCTTGTATTGACTTGTAGGTTAACTGTTATTAAGCAGACGCTTAATAAATATTTTTTGTAGTTGAACTAAATTACTTATACATATATCCTATTTCAGGAATAGACAGAATAAGTAATATATTTTATGGGATCTTACAGAGCTCTTTTCTTGCCATCATCTACTTTGGTAACTGGTAACTGTTAGACTTCTTTCTTCAGTTAACCATGACTTATGGTTTAATGCTCATTCATGGGTTTGCTTCCAATCACGTTGGAATAAATGGTACTGAATTTGAACTCTTATTATAAACAACACAAAACTGGACAGAATATATGAAGTAGTAATGTATTAAAAGAATAAGTCATGACCAAATAGTGTTCATCTCAGAAATGCAAAATTGATTTAATATGAAACAATCAATGCAATTCCTCTTACTAGTATAATAGTAAAGGACAAAAGCCAAATGATTATCTCAGTAGAAACAGAAAAGCATTTGAAAAAAATTCAACACAGTTCCATTATCCAAAGTCTAGTGAACTAGAATAGAGAGAAGTAAACTAGAATATTAGCTTAATAAAAGGCATCTATGAAAAATCTACTTA